AACGTAAAAAAACGCCTGATAAAAGCAATTCATAGTAACCACGATAAGATAACAAAAGAACGTTGAAGAAGATGGCTGTAAACGCAGATGATGACGACGACGATGATGATGATGATGATAATAATAATAATAATAATAAAAATAACATGTTTTCTCGTAATAAAAAATAAGTAAAAAGCGTTTTCAGTAAGCAAGGAGAATCTACGATCAGTTTACAATATATTCTCAAAATTTTTCTCTGTCCATTTCCACTAATTTGAAACAATGAAGCAGTAATTTATAGAAAGTTTGCTCGATTTCACAAAGGACATGACATATTAAATTCAAGTAAGGATTACCGAACAATCGGCACGTCCGCTGAATTGTGTTTTTGTTACCGAAATACGTGTTCTCTCTGGATAACGTTTCAGAGAATACTGCGACGCGGCACGACCAGTTCGAAATGCCTGGAAAATCGATGGAAATTCGGTGGAAATCGATGACAGTAATCTTCGGAACTACTACGAAAATAACGACAAGCTTCCAGCATCAAAGTTCGAACAAAATTTTCGTGCACATAAAGAAAAAATTAGTGAAAAAGATATTGTGCAGTGTAGCTGCGAGGAAGCACAATTGGGTCATGCTTATGGGACGATCTATACCTGCGTCAGATATAACTATTCTCTACAATTTCTTTCTGCTCCGGAAATCTCGAGCAATGAACGCTATTCATTAACCTGTAACCACGAAATGTACAGTGCAAAGTTTTGTATCCGGTATTGGCTCATATTGCTGGCTTTCTGGTGAACACACCACGTGGCCATTGTCCGGTTTCGAACCTAAACATTTTTAGATGTCCCTAGGCTTATCAATTAAGGACTAAACGTCTACACAGTCACGCGAAACTGATGACCACCCTTATGCCATCTAGTTGTTTCATCGATAATGATCAGGTCAAGATAATTGAAGATGGCGTAACTACTCCAGAGCTTTGTACGTCCTAGGTCGCTTGTAGATATACGACGCCGTCCGCCTGCATGTGTTAGACGCCTTACATGCTTTTGAATGGCCTTTCGACATGTGAGGCAAGTCATCATTGTAGCAACTTAGGCCATAATGGTTACGATGTGCATAGAACCTGTGGTTCTAGCCGATCGATCCGATTGAATAAGCCACTTTACATTGCCAGACATCAAAAGAAATTCGGTGTGGTATGCTAATGATACTTTCGAAACCCTCATTGCAAGTAAAGGTGCAGAAGTCAACTATATGTACATGTATACAAATCTGTTGAGTCAAAATCAGGCTCGATTCATTGGTGATTTGCTGGACGTATCGGGACAGAACTTGAGGCAGATTTTCTTTTCTTTTTTTTCTAGTAGAAATCGGTTCTTATAGCGGCTACAATAGCAATCACTTGCAAGCAATCAGTGAAGTATCCTAATCGAACGAGAATATTTATTATGTCAGGCTTCAACAGGAGCGTGATGCAAGTGCCTAAAGTTTAAAATGAGTTTTGCCCAACATGAAATTTCGAAAATATACAAAAGCGCTATTTTTGAAAAGATAATTTTCATTCAATTCGCTCCGTTGTTCGAGTAGCTTTTTTGCTCAGCAGTTCAAAATGTCGTGAGAAAACGCGGCTTAGTGTAATGTTTGCCATTCAGTGCCAAGGTATTAATCCTGTAAATGTTTTTTTTATTCTGTTGGGCAGCTTTATCACGTTGTGGAAATGTACAACTTTTATAAAGGAGACAAGAAACTCAACGGAGGACATTTTCGTCTGGGAATGCACCTTGCAAATGGTGAGGCGCATGTCGTCCTGAGATCGCTTTTTTGCAGGCCGTACGATTAAACCAAATTTCCTAGTTAAACCATATAATAAATTCCTTTTATTTGCTTATAAGTACTAAAGTATTGTTATTGATGAATTTCAATGATGAAAATGGCTAAACTAATCGTGAACGAAAAGAAAATATAAGCCTGCTTTAGATATCGTGTTATTATATATTTGTTTTGTTTCATAATTGGTCCATTCTGGTTTTTTTGTTACTTGAAAATACTTAGAAATAATGCGCGGGTGGAACAAAGGATGTTAAAAATGATTTCATCAAGACGAATACGTTTTGGCTATAACAAATAAATTTTTGCAATAGTAGCTCGTGTATTTATCTTTTTTTCTTTTAATACGAATTTTATTTTATTTTATATATATATATATATATATATATATTATATATATTTTAGTGGACAGATAATCAGTTACTCTTTTGGCTAGCAGTAGCCTATCTGTATTGAGATTGAAAAGTTGACTGAGTTAAATGGCAACTAATGCATCTTTTGAGCTACGCTTCCCGGTAATAAAAGATAATATGTATATCGTACGTTCAATATAATAATACGGCAGAACGGAGCAATTTAACAGCCGCGTCAATCAGAGTCAGAATCGGTGTGGCTAGTGCTGCGCTGCATGGCTTTAATGCTTTCCTCCGGGTTGGTCCTCGAGTGCCAGGAATATCTAGCAGATACTAGCCCCCTAAGCTCGGAGGGCACTGTATATATAAGAGTTCTGCTGCCCATTCAACCTCGAAGCAACGACTCATATAGAGTCGTTGCTTAGTGCGTTTAGTCTAAAACGTGTGCAATGGATGTCCTTACGATGCGTATGTCTCGCTCAAAATAAAGACTTGCCGGTAGCATTGTCAAAAAGTCCTTTCCCGCAGTAAATGCGCCAAGGAACAACTAGCATTGTCGGAACAACTTTTTTGTCAATATTCTATTAACTAATACTTGATACTCCTGTAGACTACAGATACTTGTCTGTTTTATATTCCAATTAATACTGCACTGCTTAAATCAAACAGGCCAGTGCAGTATTCTCATACTCTTTATCTCATTCGTCAACCAAACGTGCTAACCGAATTCGAACCCGCCTGCATATGAAGATTGGGTTCATGGGCTAAGGAGTTCCATATATTCGAGTTTTCCTAACGTACTTTATCGTGAATGCTAATACGATGGGAAAAGCTCTCCTTTTAAGCGATCGTAAACTTTACTTATTATTATTATGTCGCTCCATGCAGCGGCTGTTGTCTACCAGAAGGCGACAAAAGAACCCTTGTTTGTCACTATAAAAGTCCTTACTCTGGCATTCGCTACGGCCAAAGAACAATCTTGACAAAGCTCGCTAATCTTATTTAGACTTGACCAAAAATTTTCGAAGGAAAATAGTATATTCGATTCTGTAGCATTACGAAAATCGTTGAAACGGCTATATACAAATTATTCTTAGGTACGTTAGCAAAAGGACTTGGAACAGCTTTGCTCCAGTGCACTCAGGTACACATTACCATGTTCCGATTTCCGTAGAATGTAAATGCTAGACTAGTTTTCTTTGAATCACCTACTTGCATGAGGAAATAACTAAAAAGAAACGTTGTTGCCAGGCGCTGAAACAGGCTTCGCCATTCTGAGAAGAATCTCGAAGAATATCGATGTCCTGACGGGTCGCTCTTTCTTTGGTCCCGGGTCGCTCTTTTTTTGGTCCCGCGTCGCAAAAACCCTCCACGATCAGAAAACCAGCCAAGTGCGGCCTCTTAGTGTGCCTCGGAGATGCGCAGGACATGCATCTCTTAAACACGTCACTCGTAGTATAGATATTTTTGCCGAAGACGAACGAAATCCGCTTACCATAACGACCATGGCCGGTACACCACGACGGTATAAGAAGCACACTGTCACGTACAGATTAGTGTGATTTCTGACCCAACGAAATGCGTTTACAGCAGAAAAGAAAAGGTCAAATTTTTCCACTGTCTTTGTCGTTCTCCTTTGAGGTGAAGAGGTATAGATCAAGTGTGCATATCGTTTCTTCCGTTCCAGTTGCTATGTAATTTAAGAGTAGCTTTGTTTTTGTGGCGAGCATTGTTGTCCGCCTTCCTAAATTTAGCACAATCTATAATATTGGCTGATGAAAGACATGGAGTGCAGCTTCTCAGTTTTTCAAATCTATTTATTGAGCAGAGTTTCTTTGTTTTTACTAAGAAAATGACGCAAAATAAATAACAAGAGAAATATTATACAATGTCTGCAATATTGTGTACACTATAAAAGTTTACTGTATAAATATTACGAAATTTTTCGATGTGATGATCGAACAAAAAAACGAAGTTTTTTTGTTAACTTTACTTACCATCCCTGATTACGCTTTCTACCAATATTCGATTTGTACATCTGCTACGTTGATACGACAGAGGACGACAGAAGCAAGCCTTGTTAGGTTCTCGTTGCTTGGGTTTTGATTTTTATAGAACGATGATTTATAGCATTAAAGATCATATGACGGCGTTACAGTATGGTTGAAGCTTATGCAACACGTCAGGGTTCGTGCACGCGAAGGTGCTACGGACGAAATTCAGGAAATTGCTAGGTAAATTAATTTAGCATAAGATGGTTCCCTGTTTTTTTAATGAAGCGTTAAAAACATCTCAAGGTTTCCCTTTCTATGGTGCAAGTAATACATAGCAATTTCCAATAAATCAACAAAATTTTACAGCAATATCATGTTGAAGAACGTCCTGTAAGCTACCTAAATCGCGTTACAGGTGACTGCTTGAATCACGTGTCTGTGATAAGCAAGTCACAATGTTGTGGAAACTACTCTACTTTGGTCAAACCGGTCGTCTGATCGTAATCGTATACATCTTCTCCAAAGACGATTCGGCTGCATTTTAAGAAAATTTGCCGATATCAACTTATTGACAGGACCAGTTTGTCGTCGTCTACACTAATTTTGATACCTAAACGATCTGGATTTCTACGATGTCAATCTACACGCCACGTTGTCGAACACTGATTTTATCGGTCAAGATAGATAGACGATGCCAACAAATTAAGTGATAATGGTGAAAACGGAAAAAATGGGTCTGTCGATCTGGTCCTTGTGTTCGTGGATTTCGTCCTTACAGAAAGGACACTCGCTAAAAAGTGTACCTACTCATGCTGTGAATGTGCCCAATAATGTCTATCGCTATATTTGTGCTAACGTGTCTCATGGATTCACTCGATAGGTTTACGTACTCGTTTGTGGACACGGTGTGCGCAAAATAAAGAAGGATACATGAATGCATTTAGCCTATGGGATTGGTAATAGTGTTATAAGCTCTAGCGTCCATTATCCAAGTAAAAGGTATATTACTGTACAGAGTAACGTATTTTTTTAAAGCACCACATTCTGCTGATTTAGCTGTTGGTCTTGTCATAATGAAAACGTGTATTAAGCACGAGCAATTAGCCACGAGAACTTGTCGTTGTTCGCTTTCATGCCGATTTACCAATTCTAGTTAATGACAAAAAAGTTGTACTCCATTGCGTTGGAATTTACTAGTTTCATGTGGTGATCGTTGGATCCACAAGACACGAATTCGAACATCTCCGATCTCGTTACGAGTGACCCGCTTTGAACAAAACTGATACGCCTAAACGTCGTTTCATAAACGAACTGTTCCCAAAGTTAGGTATTAAAAGAACCAGACAACTACTAAACTAATACTGAGGTCTTGCCCAACTTAGGACCTTGTTGACTTAGTAGAGCGCCCGTTTCATGTGGTGCCTTCTAAGGACGACGATTTGTAGAAATCGAAGTGAGAGTATTTGTCATAGACCGCCATTGGACGATATCTCAGTAGGTTGCGGGTATAACTGCACGGGTTCGTTGTCGATTCCAACGTTAAGAGAGAGAATTTAAAAGCTATTTTTAAGACCAAGTTCTGGACGAGTCTTCTCTCTCACAATAGAAGAGTTTAATCGTATTACGACTTCTTATTTCGCTTGACCGTAGACTTCGCTGTCGAGGTTTTTGGCAGCCAGAAGGCCCAGTACCGTAGGTTATATGGATGCTTGAAAGCTTTTCCGACCCGACCCGTCCTTCAAATCGAGTATAATAATGCATTAGACTTTATCCAGTCGTATTCTTGATACGTTTTTCGATACATGTATGCGTCACAACAATGGCCAGTTGATTCTATAGGTGCCGCATATACAGGCGTGGTTGAAAATAGTCGTTGGTATTCCCTTAAGAAAAGACTGCGTATTTAAGGCTACGTTTTCAAAACGAAAATCTTCACTGAGATAGCCAACGTAGCCTAGCAGCAACTGTGAGTGGTGACCCGTATCTGTTCCGTAGATGCCATTCTGAAATTCGGCAGGAACAGCTATAGCGAAAGTGAGATCCACAAACTATTACCCTTGAGCGTATGACAAGTCTTACAATTCTGGATGTGGTTAACATTGGTGGAATCGTTGAAAATTTATAACGACGTAGAAATAAAAAAGCATTCAAATTATGTGAAAAGACGTGTTTTCAAACGTCATAGTGTTCTTATTTTTATCTAAGGCTTACAAGGAGACAGCGAACCTCGTGTTATTTGCCCACGTTCCAACGACACCTTGATCATTACTCGAATGTGTACGTAACGTATCAAACGGTAGATTTTTGGCAGAATCAAGCCGTTGCAAATACTAATCGATAACCTTGCATGAGCATTTTAAGTTGGTCACGTGTTGACTGAAGTAACCAACCCTTAGTCGCCAACGTCTGTACTGCATCAACATAACATTTCAGCGGTTCCAAATCATTGGCATACGTTTAGAGAGAGATGACAAGAGGTGATTTTTTAAAATCAAACTAAGTTTGCCGAACTTATTTCCATCCCGGATGGTGTTCACTAATGTGAATAACACTTCCCCCTTCTTAAAAAAATTAAAAAAGGTAATGTCACAACTAGTGAAGCTCTAGTCATATTTATACTAATGATACATACGGTTATATTAATGATACATTTAATGCTAAACGTTGGATAATGTGCATTTTCGGATGAACGCATTGGTTATTGAAGGCGGTTGCATTTAAACAGAGGAAACGGTAAGTTCGCGTTCGTTCCAGTTTCCTCTGTTTCAAGTTTAATTAATTCGCACCGAAGTACTTATCTATCAATTCAAATGATAACAAGATTCCAAACAATATATGGAACGCAAAGGTTGCTACGTGTTCAGGAGGTCATTATACCTCAACGTTATGCTTATTGGTATAATATTCCGTATAACTTGTATTACCTTTTTGCTTTACGTTTGCTTATTCTAATGGCGTAATGATCTACAGGCGTAATGATCGAAAAATAGTTTCGCTAAAGTATAGAAAAAATATAGGGCAAGTTTTTTACATTGATTTAGAACCCCTTGCCTGCTACCGAGTTGTTTCCAGTCTTCCATTAATTTTTACCCTTTCTATAATATGGAAAGTGTCAACTATTTTCTCCAAATGACATCCTTAACTATCAGATCAGACAACGATTTTCGCGTGAACTTGAATTTCGAATTAACAATTGATTAGTCATAATCCGTCAGTGAATGACTGTGACAAGCGTTATGTAGTCCTGTTTCATCTTAATGTGTGGGTGTCGTTTACGGATATCGGGCCTTACCTTGGGATATTTGCTTCGGCAGTATCGGGGGGCTTTGGTAAAGTTTCCTAGCTGTAGAATATTGGCTTTTTTTCTAGGTAGTTTTGAATGTCACTTTGAGAAGTTGTGAGTTGTTATTGAGAGTCGCACTCTTTTGTGTTGCGTTAAAATTACGCATGTCGTTGAAGATTCATGAGCTTTGAAACTCAGCCGCAATCAGCTAATTTTCCTCTGTCTAATGTGACGCTCTTGCCGCTGCCTGTGTTACGGTTAGTATTATTATACGTAAATCATGACAATTATTACAATAGTGGGTGTCGTCGACCTGGGTCTTGCGGCCCAAGACACTGTGCCGAAACTACTCTATATTGTACATATAGTAATACCAGCAGTAATAAACAGTACATACTGTACAAATACCAAATAGTGATACCAGATGTACATCCACGGCCTTAAAGAAGTGATCTGAGTAGAATCTCACTTGCTGATGACAGTGGCAATCAGATTAACGTGTCAATCTACCACAAACTCTAAATTGCAGCAGCTAACGAATGGCTAAGAGGTGCGCTAGAATTGTCGAGTTGACAGAAAAAATAGGATACCCCAGATAACTCCTGCCTATTTCTGTACACGTACCAACCAATCGCAGATCAGACACAGTATAAAAAACATATACCTCAGCGTGAGACTCTCAAGTAATCACTAGCAGCGTTAGTTTGCTAGAAGTGTGTTTTGAACAAAACGCTTTTAAGACAGGAAAACCGATCGACCATCGTCCATCTTTGAGAAAGGCTTTATGACTTTATTGATCCACCAGTCTTTTATATATCGAAAATGCGTCTCCTTTTCGTAGTTTTACTCTATAAATAGTAATTCCTCCATCAGATGTTTCTTCGTCTTTTTCTACTATTTATAATAACATTCATTCTTGATAAAAAAAAAATACCTTACCGAGTGTCCTACGTGCTACCGTTCCATATATAACCCCTAGAATCGTTTCGATCTCATTTGTATTCAGAGTAGCTAGTGTAAAATTGCTGCCCACATTAACACGATTTTAATCTGCGCCTAGGTCCGTGATACGTTGCTCGCACCCTAAATGCGAACAAATAATTAGCTGATGCAATTTTTAAGATCATCTCCATTTGTTTTTGGCTTTCTTTGTTTTCTGCTTATAAAGCTCAGGCACAAAGACCGATTTACCACTTCCTACAAGAGCCCTTGGCTGTGCGCTTTGATTTCATGTTATGAAGACCTAGAAAACCAACGAGAAAAAAATGAGAGAAATTCTGCTATCTACGCGTTCATTTTTTACTATATGCACGCATGTCTCAATGCATAGGTAATCTAGGTGAAACAGTGAAACTTTATCGAGACTTTAACACAGAACTTTTCCCATGTTATTGAATCATATTCTGTTAACAACCGCTATCTTCACTTAAACTACAAGGAGCAAACGTGGCTATAGCGTATTTTTCTATAATTTTATAATAGGTACATTACAAAATGATTCTGTAATTCGCTGACAATCTTGCAACGGCATCCAGGAGCAGACTTGTACATATCTCGGCTGTTGGTTAATAAAGGTAAAGTACGTATTACATATAATAATATAGCTTTATGTTAAGCGCACTAGAAATCAAACGCATAGGTGTAGACATGTGCAAGGCATTACCCATTCATAAGAGATTCTAAAACGAAATCACAGATAAGATGGCGCTTCTCGTGGAGGAATCGCGGATCGTAGCCAAGTGTTGTAAGCGTTCGAAGCTGTTTGATTTCATCTTCTTCTATCTTTGATGTTCTTTTATCAAGGCCTTCTCTATCCTTGTCCTCGAGTTTGGTAGAAGATGGTGGATTCTAATGTGTGTAGCAATAACGTAAACGACACCATTAACTGACAATTTAACTTCTTTCAATTACTTGGCAATATTGACTTAACTATCTATGACCAACATCACTACTGCTCCACGATATTTTGTTGTTCCTATACGTATACAGAGAGTAATTAAATGTTTGAGCTGAATTATAATAAAACATTTTTATCCAAACGAAACCAAATTACTGAAATCATTGGCAAATGTCAGCCCAAATAATAGAAAAACATAATTTATGCCTATTGTGATCCAGGAAATGTCATAGATGCCTGCTAAATATATGGACAAGCGAGGCGCTCTAAATAGTTCCTGTCGTGCTGAAAGGGGGCTAGCTGTTTTGAAGTTATACTTAGTTAAAACAGTACTTCTACTCTTATGCTCTATATAGAACTAGAATAGCCGTATTACCGCTGAATTCTTCGCAAGCTTTTCTAGCCTGTTTTAACAACCTCCCAGTTGGTTCCAGACATTCTGGACACTTTTGCTTTCGCTGAATGAAATCGTTGTTTTCTTCCACTCTTCTCTTTCGTTTGGATTCACCTGAGTCCGGCATAGCTGCTGCACCTTTCGCAGCAGTTAGTACCTGCACAACAATCAGCTATATAAGTGACGTGATATTTATCATAACATATAAAATAATAATATTAACATTCATCGTCTACTTCTGCGTGGCTGAAAGCCGCAAGCTTACTAGTTTTTTCGACTTGCCTACCATCCAAGCCACCGCTAGAGGATTTTTCCAATTCTCATAACATCAAGTATGTATGTATACAATTTTATGTTAAATGTACAACGAAATACGTGTTGTATAATACTAGACAAACAAAATGAATAAATAGCACAAAACACTCTAACATACATCTAATTTGAAGGTAGTATGCAATACGATTGAAAAAAGTGCATGTTATGTAAGTAGAGCATGTTATGCGTAGAGATTAGCATGAACATTACTAACTACCGAAATCGCTTTTGGATTTTACAAGAAATTGAAGAAAAAATTATTCAATAAACACGATATTTAAGATCTGCGAACAACGTTTTGTAAGAGGATTATGACCGGAAGTCCCTTCTTGTATATGTAACTAAATTGAGGTCACTGAAAGGAGCTCACCGAGATGTTCATCAATTTACTACGGTACAAGTCGAGTTGTCTTCATGGGAAAATTGACGCGAGCTCACCGAAGGAAAGCGACATCGACGAAAAATGAAATCTAACAGATACGCTTAAAACATTAACACGCTAGATCTTTTCACAAATAGTATCTCACACTTTTTAACATTCCGGGATGATCGTCATAACTACGAAACTATTCTTATTGTGTGTTTAATGTAATAGGTGTATTTTATTGCAGAATTCAAACCACCGATTTTTTACTTCGCAGCCGGGCACTCTGAACTCTAAGTCTCTAACAAATGTAAACAGAAAACCGAAACTACTCGGGGGATAATTAGAAGGGGGCGCCAAAAACTGCACAAAATTAAATTCGAAAAATTACAGATTTCTAGATGTATATTAATCAAAGGTGTATTGCTGAACTGATTGCAAAAAACCTTTACACAAGAATTTTCAATATGTCCTGTCAACGTATGGTTTTTTACCGCGAATAGCATGCGCTTGATTACTTTGCTTTTTGCTTATTATTATATCAGCTCATATATTTGCATTAGATTTTCGATACCCGTTTATTCTGTATCCGTTTCAACACTGATGATTATTATTCTTAGTGATAAAGTAAGATATGTCCTCCTATATATAGTTAAACACGCTTCTACACCACGCTGCACTTCTCAAGCGTGTAGCGGATAGCACATCAGAAATAATCTTACAGAACAGATAGTTACCAGTTTTGGTACACTAGATAGGCTCTGAAGCGCGAACTGGAACTTCAGTTGCGTCCAAATGATGATAGCACACCAAATTAAGTTCTACGAATCTCGAGAATTGCGATACCCACTATACACCACGGCTTGATGGTCCTCCGTAAAACCGTTGGCTTTATTCGGTCATTTTTACTAATGATATTTATTTTATTATTGATATAGTCTCATATTTACTCTATTATTGCGTTCACTACTTCTATGTGAACTATTCCTATATATGCGTTAAATAATCATGCAGTGCATCGAACAATTTCCTGGGCAGCTACAAAAGACGTCCAACGAAACAGCCTTTATAATAGGACAGGATAGAAGAAACAACTCCTTGGCGAGTTAATTTTATGAATCTAACGAAACTCACACAGAAAGCTAAAAGATTTGGGAACAGCTTACCTCCGACTCTGTGTTATTCTGTCGTTACCGGCAGGATGTTGTGAGGAAGGTTGGCGTAAAAATACTCTGCACGGATATCTGGATTCAAGTCGCGAAAATGCTGTCACTACCGCCTTTGCCATTTCGATTGAAATCGCTAAGGTGGACTAAACCGACTTGTGATTATCTCTTAACTATCTTTACTAAATACATTAATCACGGCATGACAGCTAACGCGAACACAGCCAGTAAATTTTTCTTTGAGCAACTATAATATTTACTCTGTTGTTCCACAAAAGGTGTACGCATTTTACATGGGCTTATACAGGAGCGCTTTGCTAGACCTTCAAGATGTACACTTTGTACTAAACTATTGTTATAAACAATGAGATCATCATCTATGGCCACCATAGTTAATTAGTCGTTTAACTTTTCAATCTTTGTCTTGAAGTACCAGTTTTTAACGAAATCGACACAACGGTTGGACAAAATAAACAATTGTTTTTCGTTAATCTCAAATTAGTCAATGTTTTTACAGGTGGCGAACTTGTAAACAACATAAGGAATGGTAAACATAAACTTTATTAATTAGTATGATTTTTAGCAAAAATTGGCCAAAGTAATGTTGTTCTTCACTACTGACACCTTGATGATACCGCACTTGATTTTAAGTGATTTAGATATTTTTAAGATAGATTTTAAGTAATTCATTTAGGGTAAAACTAATTGTTTTACAGTGACTGACGAATAATTGCGAACAAATTAATATTTAGGGCTTTCATGTTTGAGGGGAATATGATTTGTTGAGCTGGTGAGATTTTGGGCCAAAATGTCGCATCCCTGTTCATCTCTGTTAGTTGGATCTATAAGAACATTATTCAATAAACAAATCATTGATTAGTCCTGTTCAATATGCATTTATTATATAGTTATACACAATGCATTTATCATGACTGTGCCCGGTCAAGCAGACCCATCTTTAAAATAGTTAATTGTTTTTCTAGTTACGTGTAGATATATTTAATGGCGGACCGATGGTGACGTAACACCATTAAAATACGTGAACTTGTAAGAAATTTTCAGGCAGTCAAATCGACCCTTAAGGGTAAGTTTAGTGTTAATAATGCCACAAACAAATATATTCGCTAGACTGGGGAGTAGCAGCAAAGCTGCCCCTTGCGGAAAAGTATATTAAAGCCCATGCTCCGTAATCTTACAAAGACCATATTTTTAATTGTTCTCCATAAAAATGGCATCCAGTAACGGTGTCAAGAATGGCTTAATCCAGCTTCTGCAACCTAGATGAGACCGTATCGCTAGAAGGATAAGGCGATAGTTCGGAAGGTTCAACACAACAGGCGCTACATCTTTGCACTATCCATAGTATCGAATCGCACGAAATCCTGCAAGAAGTATTCTTATCATCCTACGTACATCGCACTACAACTCCCGACGTGCGCGGTCTACTGCTCGAAAATCTGACTTCTCCTTCTGTAGAAAGCAGCATAAAACGCAGACAGAACAAACTTTGATTACGGCATAATTACTGGGGTCATAGGTTGGTTGACTCGCCGAAATAGGCACGTTGACTCTCTTCTACATCAAGGGATATGCGAATCACTATTGCACTGTTGTCGCAACAAGGAACCAACTACAACAAAATTGCCCCGAAAAAAAACCAAAGAAATGTATGATCTATGTCTATCTCCCCTTTGCGTATCGTCCAAAGCGCTTGCTGTCCCATCAAATTTTTTCTTTTTATCTGTTTGATGATATCATTGACAGGCAAATATGTTGAACACAACAAGCTTCGCAAGAGGGCCATATTATAACCTAATCCAAAGACTGCCGATAAAGCGTCTGCTCTTTAACATATTTGTCTTCCTCTTAACAGGACACATATTTTCAAAATGATAAAGGGCATTAACTACGCCCACAACAGCGTATATTGCATAGCCATGCCACTATTAACTGTGATACAAGTGACTGGGCTTCTCAACGAGCAAAGAGTGAGTTGAATTACGAGGAAAGACAGTATTGGGTAGTGTATTGTCAAAGCAAAGGTCTACAACTATCAACTTTCTACGCCGTATCCTATCACAGTGGTTACATTAACTCGGCTGTGCTGCTACAGCAGTGACCTTACGCCAGCTCTAACATTAGCTCTAACGAGGCCACCGACGTCAGGGCCATGACCTCTCTAAGGTCTCTTCCATCTATGTTGAAACCCTACTAATGCTAGCGCCTTTGATGTCCTCTCTCGCGGTTCATACACTCTCCCTTTCCACTGAGGATGGCCCGGCCATCAGGCCCGGCTGTCCGAGAAGGAGGGCCAGGAAAGCTGAAGGGGAGCCTGTACGATGGTCTGCAGAAGGGACCTTAACGAAGCAGGGAAGGCAACAGCAACCAGCATTAAACCGCCACCATCAAACTCAACCTGAAAACAATTGCAAGGCAAGCTGCTCTTTTACCTATAGCGGGCGTGTAGCTGGACAGCAAACTTCAGTTACGTATCGGTAACAGTGATGGCGGGTTCGGCGGAAACAGACACGAAACTGCGCAGACAGATTTGTTGGCTAAACTAGCCAAACACACCGGCTGGTCCGGGATCAGGATAATCCCAGTTAAAGGTAGCAAGAGGTAACCAACCAAAGTGTGTCTGTCCAGACTAGCCAGGAAGGCCCCTCGTTTAGAACCGGCGAAAAGCCAGCAGCGACAGGAAGCAAATAACAATGCAACAATAAGCCCGGAAAGACGGCGTACTCGATTATCAACACGGGCGGGCGGACGCGCTGGCTGGGTCACTTTTTTAAGTAAACGGTGAATCTAAAAGTCATCACGACTAGCAACTTGCCAGCAAAAACAATGCAAGTATACAATCACAAGCGATCGAACTCGGAAAAAAATAGGTACGCACTAAAGTCAATGGTGCTTCGTGCAGGCTTGCTGTCACGGCTTACAGTCGACTATATTTGGTCGCCAGTAAAGCAACATTGCGTGGCTTCATAAGCGGCGGTGTAAAAAGGGCCTGTGTTTATCTATCCTGCGGTGAGCGCTTCGAGTACTAGTGACTAGGTACAGTAGGTAACCGTCAGGTTCTGTGCTCCAGGTGAGTCGTTGTTGCAAGTGTCGTAGCCTGGTCGACCTGGTGTCAGTCGTCAAACTGGACGTTTACTGGCGCTGTTGTTTTCACGTGCAGCTCCTTATCGTGCATTCTGTGTAAAGTCCAGAGATAACGACTTTTCAGTAGGAGGTTGCCCGGCCTGGAAAATCGAAGTATTATTTCTATTTGCGTGCAGCGTATTGCGAGCGTTACCGGTGTTACTGACGCCAGCAGTGGCCCGGGCGGTGGGTCGATTAAAGTCCACCTAGTTTCCTCCCAGTGCTTCTACCATTACGAGAGCAGCAGGTAACGTCACGGATCGACTTTGCAGCTAGCATTAGTCGCACCATCGATTATCCACCCACGAAGAAAAATTAGCATGGCCGCTGATATTCGTAAAAAGTCGGTAAAAAGCAATGAAAAGAAAACCAACAAAATGGTTATGTCTGTCTCGGTAGCCAAGATGCGGTGGCGGATGCTGGCCAAAGCGCTACACGAAGGACGTGTCTCAGAAGCCGGTCTCTTTATGGGCTCAGTGCGACGCTTTCATCATTTTGGTCTCCTACAGCTTAGTCGTGTGAGTGAAGATGCCGGTAATCAGGGGACCAGTTTAGATTTTGGTGGTCATGGTCAACAGCAACAACAACATCATTGGCAATCTCACCACAACACACATTCGGGTCCCGACGAAAATGAGCTGGACGCAGCCTGGTTCGTAGCTAAATGCCTCAAAGAGCCGCAGTTCTCGCTTCGCGTACGGTTCCTTCCATCGCAAGTGTCGATCAATGAACTGCGCGGCTACAACAATACAGGAAATGTGTGTCTTTGGCCTTCCGAAGAGGTGATGGCCTATTATGCGATGAAAAACAAGGAGCTTTTCTATGGCAAAAACGTCCTTGAGCTTGGCGGGGGTATGACGTGTCTGGCCGGCTTCACGGTCGCAGCCACTGCAAGAGCCTCCGAAGTGCTCCTTACCGATGGCAATCAGCGTTGCGTAGCCAACGCACAACTTATGCTTGAGGCTAACAGAGGCGCGTTTGGTGGGTGCATCGTGCATACGCGCCGGCTTCGTTGGGATGCAGAAAATGATATGAACGATTTACAGGCCCGTTTCGATGTCATATTGATTGCTGACTGTCTGTACTTTCACGATGGTCGAAAGCCGTTGGTCCATACGATCTGGAATCTGCTCAAGGCGGATGGTATTGCCGTAGTCTTGGCGCCGGCTCGCGGAGACACTTTTCAGGATTTTGTACGTCTCGCAACCGAACGCGGTTTTGAAGCCGACCTGTTAATGGTTTATGATACGTGTGTTTGGGAATTGCATTCTCGGTACCTCAAGGAAAAGGCGCATCTGTACGACGCCAACCTGCACTATCCCCAGATGCTTATTCTGCGAAAGACACAAAACTGACAACGGTCTGTTATTGGTCAATCAGCAAAGGCGTCAAAGTGAAGGCGACCTATCTGATAGAAACAGGAAGTTATAAAGCCGATGTCATAAACGAAAAACAACATGAGTAAACCGAACTTAGATTTTCACATTGTTACATTGTGTTAACTACAGTGAGACAAGTTATTTTGACCGTCAGAGAATGTTTAGAAAGGTTAAATTTACCTATCCTCAGAAGCATTCGACCTCATCGTGATCAGGATTATCTGCTTATTCCACTCAACTATTGGTAACCCCATCTACAGTTGAACAACTAAAACAACGTCTTTGATATAGGCCTAATTCTATATCTAATACGAGATACATTGTTTAAAAGGTTTTTTTTTTCGGGAAATATCAATTAGAACAAAAGTATTGGAAGAAAAAGTCGATTGCACCTGCCCAACGGTAGCAAAGCACCAGCTCGAGTGATGTATCTGCTGCTTTTATTGATGCACCTTCTGGCCTCATGATAAATTAGCTAATTGAATGTTCTTCAAAATGTTTTTTTATCGTACTTGCTCGAAAAAGCACTCCATACAACCCGTATAAATTGACAACCCTCTTTTGGACTCGTCGTTAGCTGTTGTAGTATATTACGATAGAATAGATATCGTCTCTTTCAGAATAAGGCATTTTTCTACTTAAAAGAGTTGATCAAGAGACAAACGCTATTTTAGCGAAGCTCCACTTGAGCGATTCCCGTCCTCACAGATGATACAAATTAGCGTTACTGATCGTTGATGACTCGGACATTGTGCCTAAGCTCAGTCTCCACCGATATTACATAAAAATTTCGTTGAATATTGTAATGAATAACTGCCAAACTTTCAGCTGGTAACTGTAGATGAACGAAATGAGCGGCAATTTTAAAACGGTTATTACTTTAGGCGTTAGCTAACGTCGCGATTTCGGCGTTACTCCTAACGCAGCCCGATTTCGTCACTGCGGAAACCTTTATAGTTTGTAGCTTTTGAGCATATTCCGCCCCATAAATAGCGCATGTTGTCCGGAAAAGTAAGAATATAATCATAGATCTAGTATTTAGGCAGTACCCGATATAAGATTCGTAACATTTACTTATGCACGTATTTATGACAGGCCAAAACAGTCTAAATTACGATGACGATAGTGATGACGCTGACGAGAAAACGGTTCTAGCCATGTTCCTTATACACGTAATATACTTTTTCTTCTTCTTTAAAGTGCCCTGAGGGTGAATGGTTGGCATGCTAAGCAATGTAGCGGTACATTTGAACAGCGATAAAAAAAAGTGGTCTTCTATAAAATGGCAGAAGATGAGAAGTAGAAAAAATGGTTGATGATCTTGACGATATCAAGATCCGATCCAGGCTGGACGTTGATTGTTTCGTAGTTGGATTGACCGATTTCAATGTGTGAGTGGGTAAGTGTTCAAGAGCTATATATCGTTCGCCGATGATCTGAGGTTTGTGAGGTAAACGAGATATTAAAGCTAAGTGGATTAATGAGAAGACACTGGGAACACAGCTGTTGTGATATGGCCCATTCTTGCGGCTTAAATCGTGTGAAGGAAATGGGAAAAGTTCCGTAAGTCAATCGAACGTAGAAGTTTCAAACTATGTGATTGGTTAGCCGAATGATCCATAAAGTCAAGATGATACGATGCGAAGATAGGTCCGATTGATTTGCAAACAAAAAAAAATTGCTTGCATATGGTTTCTAAATGTTACCCGCATTGACTACGATCATAACCACTTTCTGGTTATTAAACCTATTATGATGAAAACAATAATAATTATAGTGCTAATAATCACAATTATAATTAGTAAATACTATAAACGGTTAGGAGAAGAAAAATATGACAATTTATTTAATCACTATTACACTGTGGAATATAAACGGGAATACACTATGGAAGATAGAGAGAAAAGACTAGGACCCTGTAAAAGCAACAATAACTCCATAGAACATCGAGATACTTTCAGGACATGCGGTGGGGTTAAAATGATCGGTACAGCTCATACAAACGAATGAAAGCAAATAGGACATTATTAGATCGAGCAGGGGAACTATCCGTCATCCTTAACTGAGTTGAATAGTTTGAGAATTAACCTACTCAAGTTGTGCCACTTTGTAATTTTTTTTATTATCGCAATTACATATTTGTCCATTAGTAGTGATTGTGTCTCTATCAGCCACGAGAAAAGATGATGCGAAATGACATTTTTCACCATTAGATGTCAAATAAGTAAATTTGTTTTTATGGACACCTACGGAGCGATGAGTGAAGTAATTTGACTATATACGTATATATGGTTGGATAAGTACATGAAAATTTTAAGAAGATGCTACCTTCCGTTTTGGCGTATTTATTCTGCTTAGTCTTTAAATAAATCAAGGTTCCTTTTTATTCAGTAAACAAAGACTATCCATGCCCTGCGCCTTAAATGGTAAAGCCTTTCGAACGGTGATCCATCAAATCTATCTGGCGCATTTTTTAAACAGATTATACTCTGATTAATCAGGCTATCATCGCAATCCGGTCGCTTGCTGGAAGCATATGGATAATTTTGTTAGATATTTTAAAACTGGCCTTCGTGAATACCTTATTCATTCGAATACGCACGGTGAGCTTTGTTCTCACAGCAGAACCCCTGCTATCGGAACGAAACCTTTCGTCGCCTGCAGCTTTCATATTCAAAAGTTGTTCCATTGGATTTTTCCTAAATCTTTCACTCGCTCCATTCTCTTTCATTTTAACCACTCAAGAGTTTGAGTTCTCAAGTAATAAAAGAATGTGACCCGCGTGTGTTTCTTTGTGTGCCTGTCACATGAACATTTTTCCCTACGTACCGAACCCATCGTGCATCGAAGCATGTGACGAAAATTATGGAATAAGGGGAGATGAGCTACCGGCCACATTTTTCCTGTGCAACGATTGAAGTAGAACTTATCCTGTAAAATTTGCGTCATGGTAACAACTATGACACGGGCTCGAGGAAATCGTTGATGAACATACGGCACTGGATACACACATAAAAAACAAATGCCGTGGAGCGAGTAGTCGCGCAGGGTGTGGTCAATGACGGTTTTTTTAAAGTGCGTATGTGTAAATGACATGGTCCACCCAAGTGACTATTTATAATGGAAAAGAGTAACGGGAATAGAGAAAAAACAGAATTCGCCGGTGATCCACAAGCTATCTCTTGGCAAACGATGGAAAAGATACTAATAATAATGATACTAATGCTAAGAATAGAATGTTGATAATAATTAATATAATTCGATAATTATTAATATTATTATTCTTAAGACTGTTATTGTAACTACGCAAATGTACCTGCGACGAGTGTACCTTACGCTGTCAATGAAACTGTTATTAATAAATCTACTGATAATTCAATAGACCCGTGATGGTTAATGATGTTATAAAAATATACTCTTGACCGATTGTGCGTTCACGGGAACTTTGGATAATTTGATTTTCATAATAACCTCAACAGGAAGCTTTTCCTGTCGAACCAACGCTGAAAAATTCTATTTTATTTAACTATACTATGCACGTAATTCTGCTTCCTTGCAAAAAGCTCAATAACGTTTATATACAATATAAACATTGTATCTCGTAAATATTTAGTATGATTGCATCAATAAATAACCGTCATATAACATATATCCAATATCACTTTGAACATTTCTACTTGTACTCATATTCTATTAGCACAATTAAAGCAAGCTCTTACTTGCCCGAATTAGGGCAATAGGGTTAAGGGATATGTACAAAAAACGAATACCTATAACTCGATCAGGCCCTATTCAGGGTCAAGGTCTCAATGTCCTCAAACCCACACCGGAAATTGAATTCTTGTCCTGTCTCAATGAATATATACCAGACCATTTTGTAGGCAGAATGCTTTTAATGCATTAAATTTGCATCTCAAAAAGCCGCTTATTAGACAAATTTCCCTGAGCTTAAAAACGTGGACAATAGCACAATCGGACGGAGTTAGGATAGAAATAAAACTGTGGGGAAAGGAAGCAACTTAAACTGTTTAATTAAACAGCTCACTTACCACGGAGCAACTTAATAACGAGTCAACTGCTCTGCAGCTCGTGATACAACGTTTGTAGTCGATAAACCTGAGTATTAGAGTATGATGAATCTAACACACAACGTAGCAAATGTCACCTTATAGATATCAAAGATGGCTATCATGCGTGGATATCTCGAGAATCGACATGAAAGCGACCTTTGCAACATGTGACAGTTGCCTGTGCAATCATCGACCCAGAATAGGAATCAATCGTGATAGTGTATATGAAAACATAGGCAAGACAGAAAAGAATACGCTACAGAAAATCAGTGCTTTAACTATTCACATTATGTTGATTTCGATGTACAGAGCGGTTCGCTGAAACATTCGTTTCTAGTTTGAGACGAAATTAACACTCAACGTAATAGCGCTTTGAGCTTTGTATCAAATGTTAGTCGTAGCTGTCCAATGAATCATTAAGTGTTTACATATACTTAAGCACGCGCTCTAACTGGAAACGGTTAATGAAATGAATCCGGATTTCCTTTAGTGTTTCAGTCGTAAAATTATAAACTAATATTCATTCATCTGTCACTGTATTACCTTTGACAGGCTACTGTGAGTCACTACATAAAGCATTATTGGGTGTCCGATGTTTGTTCCAAGAAGGATCAATTGACATCTCGTAACACTACGAACCCTGCGAGCTATTAGTCACTTATAGCCAATAAGTTCATTCCGTTTAAGATTATTATATGCAAGAAATAAATTTAGATTTTATTTTACACAAAAATCAATAAACAGACCTAACGAATCAGCATTACCACTCCCCAACTGTTTCAATGCTAAGAGGCATTTATACTGTTCGACGATTGCCAGACAATAATTACGCAGAGGCGATATTTAAATTAAAAATACATAGAATGATTCCGTTTATTTTTGTCATCATTCGTTAGAATTGTTACTGTGCGCCGATACGGCTGCGAATTCTACTCCGTCGATGCTATCATTACTTCTACGGCGGAGCAAGAGGACGCCAGTTCAGACATTTCTGATATAATTGATTTTCTCATCTGGTCTAGTAAGGGGTCAGGTTAAGGGAACCAGAAATATACAGAGTTCTATAGGACAGGATATAGATATATAGAAATAGATATGATATGATCAGCTAAAAAAAAACATCTCCTTATTTGTCACGGCTATACGGTGATCTCTAAATCGTCTCGAATCGAAGCCAGGATACCATTCATATAATATATCTGTATGTATTTATTGAGCTTATGATTAAAAAATAAATAAATGTTACGGTAAATAGTAAAAATAATAATGAACTGACAGACGAAGCCCCATGGTGTGCTGATTTTTACTTGAAAATGTTTTCTTTTTTCGAATTTTTATTGTCACGCGTTTCTCACTCTGTAATGCTGACTATTAGCTTTTTTTTTTTTTTTTTTTACCTAGGTTCGCTAGTCGATGGCTGCTACTTTTTTTTTTTATCACATTTTAAATACCATCTAATGAATATATAAACTATGTACATATTTCTATCTACGTAAAACGTGGCACAGTTTTGTTTCTATAATACTTTACATGAATTATCGTAAAGCCCTAGCATCTTGTTGTAGAACTTCAGCGTCTTTATAAGTTCCTCCCAACATGACTGACTAAGGTAAGGTCACCTATGAAAACCCATTTTACTTCAAGCAAATCTACATCGTGATGTGCGAAGAATACCGCAGCAAGTACTGAGTGCCTCTCAAGCTGGCGGATAATAAAGCTCATCTTGTTGTTGATGCCAGTGCTTCAGTCATAGAGGCGCCGAGAACAACAAAACATGATATAATGAAACGGTTCGGAAAATTGAATAGGAAAAAGAACGAGCTAACCAAAGCAGTTCTCAAGAAGAATACAGGAGACGTAGCAATCAGAAGAAAGAAGGAAAGAACAGCTGCTGTCTACACATGAGGAACATTTAAATTATGTACATCGTTCAGACCAGATCTTTGCGATCCCTGTTGTTTGGGTCGGGCTCCTGACGTTTTTTTGGCAGCACCAGAGCCCAAAGCTTCAAACGAGACAAGTATCTACACTAGTGATTCTGTTATTGCTGCCTGAAAATGACGAATGCGAATGGAAGGTAAGAAACAGTTGAATGCCACATCTTCACCACCATTGCAGATACAGAGCAAGTTTCAGCAATATCAGTCACGACCTTATTGCATTCGAATTTTCCGCTACCGCTTTGGTGTTTACCGATCCCTAGTCTATTTTCCACTCACTTTCGTTCGATCTCACTAGAAGTATAAGAGCGCCTAAAAGTCACCTAAAATTGAAGCTACACCTCTGTCATACAAACGTATAGCAGCTGGCCTAGAAGAAAGCTTGGGACAGGGTGATTATGATATTGGCCGTGCACAAAAAATGCAGCTGCGAGGTAGCCACAGGCTGAATTGGACACTTCGGTGTCTAAGCTCGGCTGAACTGAGATGATCGGCTTAGGACGAACCTGTTTCATCGGCGAAAAGTGGCGGAACTAGATGAAATCTCCTTGCTTACGCGAAGGTTGGAAAGCGGTTCGATCTTGACGTTCAGAAAATAATTGTCGCGAAGTGCTTCCATCGCTGTTATTCGTTTCATCGGATTCAAACGCAGCATTGACGAGATCAGACGTTTTCCACACGTCTCCATTCGAGGTAGACGGGTTTCGATATCTTTTTGCGGCCAGCGAGGAAATGACGACTTGTACTCCTGCAATTCCGTAACGCCTGGCCAAATCTTCTCATTAGGTGTGCCCAGCTCTTGAAAGATCTTGAACAGCTGATCAATTTCTGAATCACCTGTAGAACAATAAGGTCAACATTCATTAGGTTACTGTACCTGATTAGTTAATACGTGTGTCGCTTAATCTAAGTCCTAAAATATCACTAAATATATAACTGATATATATATATATATATATATTTATTCACTAAAGAACGGGCTGAAATTTATACAGCAGTTAAGATGTCAAAGCTGAGATCTTAGCAAAACTTTTAATAAATTCTGTTCAAAGTTAAAAAAAAACACGATAGAGGCTGCATTAGACCAAAAATGCGCTCTTGACGTCGCTGTACAGAGTTACATTTTCACTCACCATTCGTAGACAACATCAATAACATTTCAAGATAGTCGCTGCTGTCTCGCAAACATTGAGATTAGCAACGTGGAAACTTGTCATAACTGAACGTGCAGTTCAATTCAACGGCATTCATCCATTTTTGACAGGGGGATCATAAAAGTAATTACACAACAACGTTGCAAACAAAAATATTCTCCTACACAATTTTGGAAAGATCAGAAGTATTTTGCTGTAAATAAGATGCTAAGTTCTTTTAGCGAGATTGCATGCTAGGTTTTTTTACATCGAGAAGCGTGATATCTACAAAAACCAACATGCTTCTGAAACCACCGGAAAATACTACATTATTGAATCCGACAGGATCAAACGAACGCGGCATCTTTAGTCCGATAATCCCTTGCAATACGTATTTAGTCGTTACTTTTTATTTACAATCTCTGGTTTCACCTATCAGACAAGATATAAAAACCGATTTCACGCTTTGATTCATTAAGCAAATAGGAGTATAGCTATCCGCTTACGCTTACCAGGGAAAAGGCATTTGTTGTTGCTCATTTCGGCGACGATGCATCCGAGGCTCCAAATATCAACCGACAAGTCATATGTTTTCGTCCCTAATAAAATCTCAGGTGGACGATACCACAGGGTAATTACTTCATGTGTGTACATCTTCACGGGACAACTGAATGGCCGAGCGAGCCCGAAGTCTGCCAGCTTAATATGACCTATAAGCGAAAATCATATGGGAATAAAGCACTAGCTATTTTCAACTATGCTATAATAATAATGAATTAGTAATAACTACTAATAGTAATTTGTTCGTTTTTTACTATTTAAGCTAGCAATAATACCTTGAACCTTTTTTTCGATCAGATCTGAATGAGAAACTTGGTCTTATGTAGTCTGACAGACGATATTGCGTGTTTGAGCTTAATTTCAATGTGTATAATAGTAGGCGTTAGACGCCAGTTAGAAACTCGCCACAAGAGGTAAAACTAATATTAAGTTTAATGAAATATAGATTTACTTATGTTAGGTTGATGAGAAAAGATTGGCCATTTTAAACCAAAATAAACGTGGATAATTTTTAAATTTTAAAATAATATTACTTCAATAAGTGCGCGTTATTTTGATTGAGGACTGTCATTTCTCTGGTAACAGCATAATCCCATCACTTTTAGAATTCTTGTAGTTTTTTAGCAAGCGATAAATTGCTACAGGAGGTTTTTGTACCCCTCTAGTTACACTGAATATCATTAAGGGAAACCTGATGACATTCCGATGGTGCAAGATCTGGGCTATACAGCGAATGCATTAAAATCTTTCTTCTAAATCTCTCAATTTTCGCCGGGTCTGTTCTCACCATGGCGGGTGTTGTAATATACTGCTAGTTGTCGATAGTAGATGTCCGAATCAATCGTTCAGGTCAAACGGCAGAAACTTGCCAGGCATAATTCTTTTCAACCAAACTTATAACATTCTTCAGCATCAGTTCGGACTTTGTAGAGCACTTTTTTTTTATTTGTACATTATTGTTTTTCATTATTTGTGATAGAAGAGGCTCGGTTTCGTTGTTTTTCTGTAGGGTTTGCGAATAGAAATACGATTGAGCAAATTCGTTTGCGTCAACTCATGTGGCATCGGGCAGACATCGGGACTTTCTATAGCCAGCTTTCTTTCAGTTGAACCGGCGATATTATGGCTACTCATGTGCCAGTTTTGCCCAAGCGTTACACTAATTTCATCAATTTTTTTCCCTAATTCGACCATTTTTCACATCGAAATTTCCAGAACAAAAACGATAGAACCGTTTGTAGGCCGTTTCTTCTTCTAAAGCACCATTTGTTATAGACCTATAGCATTGTAGCATATAGCTAAATTGTAGAATATAGCTAACCTTTATAGGAATTTCATTCATCTTCAAGATGCTCTGTCTCAGGTCTGAATAACGGCATTCCAACGATACTAGCACACAAAGCACTGTCAAATCTCAGCTTTCAAACGATGTGAACGCCAACTCATATTACATAAGATGTGTGACTTTAAAGTCATCTAGCTAGAAGAACGGTCAATACATTTTTAACAACCCAATGAAAGGCGAAGGAGCAGATCCAAAAGGAAAGGTCTCGCGCGGACGATAAACCAATTGGGACCTTAAATATACTTCAACAGACGTTGATTACCATGCCACAGGTAGGGAGTTCGTAATTCACTACAAAAAATTTAATTCAAGCGACTATCAAGCTTAAAATTGCGAAGCATGCAAACACTTTACCTTTATAACTACCTTACAACTCTGCATTTCGCTCATTTATTTAACGCTAGGAAAGGCTAGTTTGGTAAGCTTAACGCTTAACTTAACGTCAATGAATAATAATAACAACAAATATTAAAAATTTGAAATAAATAAAAAATAATATAGCTTTATGTTTAGTATAGCATGGTAAAGTTTAAATAATCGAGTGATTTGGTTCAATTATTACCTTTTTTATCGAGCAACAGATTTTGCGGTTTGAGGTCTCTGTGGAGTATCATGTTCTTGTGGCAATAGGCAAGTCCTTGGAGGAGCTGCCACATGAAACTTTTCACCGTTGCTTCCGGTATGGGGATTTTGAGTTTTGCGTGCTGGTCGAGCAGATGCTTAAGATCCATAGCCATGTATTCGAAAATTAGGTAAATACTGTGTCTCGATGGAATAATATCGTACAGCCGAACAATATTCTCGTGCTGCAGCATTTTTAACGAAGCGATTTCGCGCATCGTCGTTGATGGAACGCCTTCAGTATCGGGGTCAATCCTAAAGCAAAAGAAACGAACGTATGTACCAAAGGTCGCAGATAGTAATAATAATACATTGATCTTTCATTACTTCGTTGATTAAGCCTATTCTGTTTTAGATGAACCTTTATACAGAAGTACACAGAACTACGTAACATTGCATGAATTAGTTTCATAATGAAGAACCTCTTGCGTCAAACTGCATTTCAATTAAATTTATTTAAGTTGTCCGTCTCTATCGATGCCTCAGGCACTGAAAACCCTATACCTTATCCCAGAATTATGCTCTAATTATAGTTTTAATATTAATGTTATAGTTGTACACATCTGACGTTTTCCTTGACTTATAATCTATCTTCTATGAATCAACCGAAAGAAATCCTTTTATCGGTTTGTCAATCAAATGTATACGTATTCTAAAGTTCGGTAGGCTAGCAAAAAGACAACAACTAAAGACAACGTGCAACAAATCCCGTTTTCATCGCAATTTATAACGAACGAACGATTTCAGTGGGAGTAGTCAATGCGGGGCTGTTCTAAAATAACCTGATACTAACCAATCATGCTGTAGCTATGTCCATATATAGTTTGACGAGAGTGGGATTTGATTGCTGATCAAATTAGTATATGAAAAATGCTGCTTTATAACAGTGCATCTCTCGTGGCTGGGCCCATTCCGTTCCCAATTCCGTCACTGGACTCTAGCACAAACCAAAACTAAACCCTAAAGCGTGCAGGGGATAGAATATGAATATAAAAATCTTAAAAAAAGGTATATAGGCACTTGCTAGTCTGACGAAAAAATACAAGTAAAAAGCTTGCAACCACCTATAGATCAACCTTCCTAATAAACTTGTTCTAAGAATCCTTATAAAGGTACCATTCTTAAATGTACGTCGATAGAACTTCGTTGGGAAAAACGCGTACCTGATCTTTTTGAGTGCAACCTCTTCTCCGGTCGTGGAGTTAACAGCCCTATACACCGTGCCATAGGTTCCTTGACCGATCTTCTTAACTTCATCATAGCCGTCCATAACGGTATTCGTCCAGTACAAAAGTGGTGGGCAATCCGTGTCGTGCCTGATTGAATAGAATAACGAAAGCAAGGGAACTTACTTTAAGAAAATGCCTGTAAACTCTTGCGCTGACGCTGAGAGACAACAATAAATCCTAGGTGTCTACTCTATCAGCTACGTTTAGTGTCCGAGGCCAGGCTAGAACCGTAGAATCTACTAGCGGGACATCACATGAACCGACCCTCGCTTGCATTGTGCTCAATACGCGCCATAGCGCGCCACAAACATATAGCCCGCCCGGCACAGGAGCAGTCAGTACTCGGCCCGCCTGTTAACAGGATGAATGAATTTTCATTAGCGAACGGCGCGAAACAAGGGTCTAAACACCGCAAGAAATAAAACCAATGTTACCACAGCCAAAAAATACGAGAAGGCTGCTCTGCCTAATAGTAAGGGTAACAGTTGTTAATGTCAACGGAAACGCAATAGCTAATTATTGTTTTAGCTGATTACGATTAAATCTGACACGACTATGAGATATTATTCGACATTTGAAGACTAGGTGAGAAGCAGCTGACAGACCCGAAGGTAATTGGCACAGGCATCGTTCCCGGGCAGGTGGTCAATCCTGTACAACAAAAGGAACGATTCCTCTGAAATCATGTTCGGCACAGTAGACCATGCTTAGTTACAGAAATGGATTTTGTATGAAGTAAGCAGAGCGTACAAGGTCAACCCAGCGACAATAATCGATTTTGTATTTACAAGAACATATTTAAGATCTGTAAGATGAACTTTTACACAGCACAATGGGCGATGGATGCAAGTTGAAAATTTGGCAAATGTACAAAAAATATTCCGCTAAAGCTGCTCTGAGCCATCACTATGTGAAATTGATAATAAACAACAAGGGTCCTGCCGTTTGTCACCGTGAAAATTTAAAGTTAAGACATAGACTGAACCTTAAGAAAGAAAGAAAGAACTTTTTCTTGAAGGTATTGACTATATGATTAAATTAAACAAAAATAAGTTCCTATCTGTCACTGTACAATCGATATAAGCTATTCTCGTCCGTATGTATCACATATTTGCTGTTATAGATTCAGTTATTAATATTTTATTTCTATAGGAAGTTTCTATCAGATGCGTATTTAGTACCTCCATTATTATACGGCAAAGGTTTCAATTCTTTCAATCAGGCGATTTTTTCAGTATTTAGTAAATTTACGTATCATTGCCTGCGTACCATTAGTTCTATTTTATTTCATCTGTAGTTATGAAATTAACTCCTAAGAAGAGATTGCTTTCATTACAATCACATGGCCAGTTTCAATTAAGTCTTGCGATGTGTAACTCGGACGTTGTGCGTCTCTATCGTTTCCACCACGTGCTATTATTGAGCTACAGGCATCGTCTCCTTATGAGCATTAAAGGAATATTTCGTTCCCGTCAAAATTTCAGCCGTAGTCTATTGTCAACAGAACCCCTCCAGTGAACGCAGTGCAAGCAGCCCCTCGAGTCTTTACGCTGACAGTCGTTATTACCAGCGGGCAAACAGATACCGCTTTTCCGAACGGCCAAATGAACAGCGAATTCAAACAGAGAATCGTAAACAAGTGGAAAGCAAACTAAAAACAGGTAAGACAATATAAACGAAATGAAAATACCCTAGTTTATCTTTTCCAATTAAACCAGCGAAATAATGAGCTGGTTCCTCTTACTGACTAATACTAGCATTGTCGCTGAATAATACTGAGCGTCGAAAAGCCGCTACAAGGAGAACCAATCAGCGAAGAAGTCACGAGACAAACTGACTAGCTTTCATCATCTCTGCTGTAATAATAGTTTTGCGACCTCTCTACTACGCCATCCTTGTCTTCGGGATTTTCTGACTGGCGAGCTGCTCTCGCACCGCCATCCGAACAGTTGCAGTGGCCGCTCATACGTTTGGGGCTGCTGCTGTGTGTTCCTCTTCTTGTACTGCTAAGAGTTAATTTCCTCCAAGTGTGTTGGCGTGTGTATGTGTGAGTGTATGTGTGTGTGTTTGTGTGTCTGTGTGCGTTTGTGTGTGTGTATGTGTCTGTGTGTGTGTGTGTACCAAGTCAACCACGCGGCTACGCGATAAGACCAAGCGTCTACCGACAACAGTCATCAAGTACCAGCAAAGGATAGCAAGACAGGAACTAAACGCACAGACACACAAACACAAAGCATAGATAGAAAGGTACACACACTCACACGCACGCACACACACACACACACGCGAAGTTACAGACAGAGCTTTCCCGCTCTCCGCCACAAAATGGTAGGCAATCGTACTTCGGATCAGGTGGCCCCTGAAGCCGGTGTCGTCAGCAGAGACGTCAGTCGATACGGCCCAGCTCGAATCGGTCCGTGTTGTCGGTGGAGCCAGAGTGGATAGTGGACATTGGCGCCGCTGGTGGGGCTGTAGTAAAACGAAACTTGCCGGTGCCAAGCCAAAGAAGAGGCCAGAGGTCAAGGAGGAGCGCAAAAAATTGGGAAAGATAGAGAAACAAACGAGTGGAATCTGCACGCGAATCTTCTTCACGTTGAGGTCGTAGAAATGCTTCGGCAAGTAAGTGATCTTACTGTGATGGTGTTAGTGAAGGTAGTCGTTTTTAGGATGTTTTTCGTTTTTTCGAGAAAGTACTGCGTGTGCGTGTGCGTGTGAGTGTGCGTGCATGTACACATTAGTTAACGAGATAAAGTTTCACGGAAGTTTGCTTTTTTAGAGTTAATTTCCACGACAGAAAGAAGTGTTGTTGTTTGCTGAGTGTCGCTTGCGATGTGTTTTCGTTATCGGTGATGTGGTATTTTCCTACATAGATTTTTCCCCGATCGTATCCTATTTTTACAGGGTGTGCTACGAAACTCGCGAGAATATCGGTATGTATTTGTCTAAGCAAAATGTATACTTAGCAAAATAAAGATGTAGATTAAGACGATCACACTCAATCCACAAAGAAAGGAAATATAGCTAGATCAGTAAACCATCCACGTTAGTGACCATTTGTGGGATTGTTTCTACATACATATACGTACGTATCTGACGTGCATTTTGATTGCCCTTTAATGCAACGCATATCGTATGAGGAGATCAAAGTTGGTACTCACTTCTCAAGCTCCTCATCGGTACACTGATTTGCTGAGAATTCACTTAGTTACGATTTCGTAGGCGCCAAAATTGTACCATTCAGCCCCAACGAGTCACAATAAACTTCTAATAGAAGACAACTTGAACACAAACTATCATGCAGATTATGAAAAAACTTCTTTAAAATAAGCATCTTAATTGAAATTGAAAAAAAAATCAGATAATATTTTAAAGATCTTTTGCGGTTTTTAACGATTGAGTAACACCGTAGCCAAAAGGGGCGTTCTATTTTAAGAGCATGCAAACCACTTAAACCAAATTAGAATGACAAGAAAATTGCTTTTGCCATGTGTCACTTACTAATGAAAATCTCAAAATAGAGTTAAGAAACCTCTATTGGAAGTTGTTCGTAAGACTACCGCTTAAATTGTTGTTGCTACTGCAATCCGGATTAAAGTGTACGCACAGATCGTACTCTCTTCTTTTCTGACAGTGATAAAAGTATCTTCGGGAATTCTTCATTGCGTACCCGCACCGTTGGCTGAAAAAGATTGACGACCGGTGTCTATGTAGTTGGGTCAAACGCGCTGTGTGCTGACCCGATCGAATGTGCCCGTCCGTGTGAAGTATTGCATGATAGTAAAACGACTTGAGCCGGATGTTACCATTAGCACGTCTCGTAATGGGGTACCCACACACGTTTGGAATAGTATAGTAACTGGCAAGTGATATCACCTACCAGTAACAATAGAATTGAATATAGATCATTCCACAGCCGTGACAAAAGTTTGACATTATAAATTTAATGAATAGATATAACAGATGAGGTGCCGTGTATGTCGCTGTTAGCCGCCTACTCAATATGGAACACGAATAGTAGAAACAGTGGAATATAGTAATATGATGTTTGGCCTGAAGTTTGCCATGTGATGTTGATGTTTAAAGCCCGTAATTGCCTGTTTTAATAAAAACCCTAACAAAATGGAGATAAGCAAAAATTCTATTCGTCTACTACGAAATGGGCATTACGAGTCGAAAGAAGTAAATCGATAATAAGCCGACACTGAAATTTTTAGTTCTTTGGAAGTTCCTTTTAGGGAAAAATAAACTTGGCCCGAAGCAGCCTGTTTTGATGAAAAATTTTCGCTTACAGCCGTTACGCAATACTGGTGCTTATATTGACTGCGATTTGTTTGTAGCCAATTTTCGTGCTAGGATAATAGAGATGCTCATACCCCTGTACTTGTAGCCACCCCTAAGAATTATAACTCTCAAACTCTCAAAACCTGAAAAGTTGCATCATATTAATATTGCATAGAAGATATCTAGCCGGCTTAGCTAACATCGCTTTACGAACGTAAACAAACAAATAAATCTGTTAACGTTGCAATGATGATAAGGTTCAGCGACATAGATCGCTGACGAAAATACATACTTTTCTAAATAGTGCTAATGATCTTTCGTGAGAAGCCACTAAAGTGCAGGCAGCATGAAATTCGTAACGAAATAAATGGATAAGAAAACGTCTTAGACCCCGAGGCTGAAGACCCTGCTCGTCCCCCGACTCAGCCAACTTTGTTATGGCAAGAGTCGATCGAGAAGGCGATGGGTTTTTTTGTGCAATATTTTGTCTTCAGCTTCAGTTGTCAAATTTCCGTATACCAATGATATATCGGCTGTCAACTATCGATTGCTACCAACCAAATTATACTTTTTATTGCATAGTAATATTTATTAGGCAATTAAATGTTTTTCAAATGTTTTTAGTCAATTGAAACAGGTACGATGTCATAAGCGAAGATGCAAATAAGCAGGTTTCCCTTATCTGGGTACTCGGACGGTCAGGGTTAAATGAAACTGGAAATATTTTGTACGAATCTCTGTTACCTTTCTTCAGAAACTACAAGCCGTATTGAAAATATGGATCTTTGCGTAAAAGCTGTTCGACTCAAAGGGGTTAGCTAAGAAGACGCGTTACGGTGATAGAAAAAGGGAGAAAATTATTTGTCCAAAACGAAGGGCCTTCAAAGTGGGCATTCTTTTATTACATGCGGGGGATATTTATGGCCACGAATGGGTGTTCCATTTTTAAATGAATAAAGCATTACTTTAATTAGGAGTTTAGTGTTCTTCCTTCTATATGATTGTTACCAACAATGTAAATGTGGTTCTATTAGGACTGATGCAGGACGGATGGTTTTTGTACAAAGTGTACGCCTTAGTCGATAACAGGAACCTTCAGAGAACTGGGATATCTTTTTTCGGTTTCACAGGCTATTAGTAATATGCGATAGACCAGGTTTTAGCCTATTTTAGCGGCTTATATATAAACCAAGTAGATAAAAAGAGATATTTTCTGTATAAAGCCATTGAAAAGGTGGATCTTATATGTGCAGTTAAAAAGCGACAATAATTCGATAAAACTTTTCTTCATAGAAGGGCAAAAAAATAATGTAAACTTTACGCAGTGTCCAAAAACGTTTCTTGTTGTTCACATCGCCAGCCAATTAAGTCAAGGGGTCAACAAGCCAATTAAGTTTTGAAATGTTACGACAAAAACTATTAGTCGTTACTACATTTTTTTTACATATTCTTCCCTTTCAGCAGGTCCGGCCGCTGCTCCTATCTGTGTCATTTTCTACCAAAAACTCAATTTCCTTTTCAATCCCTCAACATGTACGTCACATCGGCCTATTCACCTTGCTACGAAAGACGATCGTTAGAGATATCACTGCGGGATATCGGGTGCTCAAGATTCGCTCTCAACAGAAGTATTACACCAAACGAAACTTAACCATACCTGATCTTTTTGAACGAGTTGCTGCAAGAAAGGGTTCTAAACCTATGTTCGTCAGCGATGACAGTTCATACACGTTTGCCGAAGCCCAGCAGTACGTCAATCGTGTGGCAACGTTTTTTCAGGCACAGGGTTTCAAGCGCGGGGATGAAGTCGCTCTCTACATGGAGAACAAGCCTGAATATGTTCTTCTGTGGCTTGGCTTGTCAAAGCTAGGTGTGGCAACAGCTCTTATTAATAGCAATCTTCAAGACGACCCACTGATGCATTGCGCAACAATGGTTAATTGCAAGGCAGTAATCTACTCACCGTTCACCGCGGCGAGCATTGAAAAGGTTTACCCCCAGCTGCAACAGAAAACGTTACGCCCTGTGCGATGCTTCACCCTCGGCGAGCCATCGGGAAAGGTTCCGTCTCAGAATCTTGAAGAGCTACTGAATCAGACTTCACCGATTGACATCAAGGTACCGAAAAGTGTTTCGGATCCACTTATGTATATCTATACGTCCGGCACTCAAGGGCTGCCGAAAGCAGCGATCATTTCCAATACGAAATTCATGTGTTACGGCGTTGTGATGCGACATATTGTCAGGCTACGCGATAACGACGTTTTCTACCTTTGTTTACCCTTATACCATCTCTCTGGTGGGGTGGTAGCTTGTTCACAGATGATTATGTATGGTTGCACTGGCGCAGTTGTATCAAAGTTCTCCGCAAAAAACTTCTGGCCGGATTGCATCAAGTTCAAGGCGACCGTTGTGCAATATATCGGAGAAATTTGCCGGTACCTGCTGAATGAGCCCGTCCGACCTGAGGAAACCCAACACTCAGTCAATGTAATGTACGGAAACGGGTTGAGGCCGCAAATATGGCGGGAGTTTCAAAAACGCTTTCAAATTCCTAACATCCGAGAGCTGTACGGATCGACCGAGGGAAATTGTAACCTAATAAATATTGACAACACGGTTGGGGCGGTGGGCTTCGTGCCGACAGTAGCCCGAATCCTGCCTGGCTTCATCAGCAAACACATCTATCCGATCAAGGTAGTGAAGCTGGACGATGAGGGGCGGCCGGTTCGAGACAAAAACGGCATTTGTGAGCAGATACGTGAAGGTGAAATCGGTGAAATCGTCGGCTATATTTCGGAGAGCAATGTGCACAAATTTGACGGGTATCTAGATAAGAAGGCGACGAGTAGCAAGTTATATAGCGGAATTTTTGCTAAAGGGGATCAAGGTTTCGCGTCATCAGATCTTCTTAGCATGGACGAACTTGGTTATGTATACTTCGTCGATCGTACCGGTGACACTTTCCGATGGAAAGGAGAAAACGTTTCAACCTGCGAGGTCGAAGGTAAATCTGTTTTATGATATAGCTTTAATAACATCTACGATTTTTGTAAATTCACTGCAAACTCAGTGCTAGCAATGAACGAAATAGACGAAAATAAGGAAGCCCGTTGTACCATATTTGATAGCACCCAATGGATAACTCAGGGTCTACTAAAGCTGTTTGGGTCGAATCGTCTAGCCGACCCTAAATATCGACGACACAAGACTTACAAATCTACACTATTAATTTCAATACCGTCACGTAGATTCCTCGAGATACACGTTTGTCTTGATGCAGGGGTCTCAGCATATCGGTGTAGCCTTGAATGGTGTTCTCTCGTTATCGAATAGGTTAAATATGGTAAAGTTAAATACGGTAAACATAACACATATGTAAAAAATAACCGTATTTAAAAGGCGTTACAAGTGAATCATTTTTCATTATAAAACAAGGGAAGTACATGCACATTTTGTCCAATGCCAGTCCCCGACGATTATTGTATAGAGCGTTGCAATGTGCTCTTAAATGTATGGCCATAGCTTACAGACACAATTGAGAGGTCTTGCATTTACTGTTCATTGTGTAATTGTGACGTATATTTCACGTTTTATCATAAATCCTCTGTTTTCAGCTCTCATTAGTCAAATGGTGGACAATCGCGATGCAGTAATGTTTGGCGTCCCTGTGCCGGGCACCGAGGGCAAAGCTGGGATGGCGGTAATTCAGGACGATGGCACATTATGTCTCCAGGAATTCCTGAAAAAGGCTCAAGGCGTAATACCAGCCTATGCATTGCCACTATTCGTTCGACTCGTCAAGGAGGTTGAACAGACGTCGACAAACAAGATGATGAAAAGTACCTATATCAGGGATGGATACGATCTGACGAAAGTCAAACAAGACCCAGTGTACTTCCTCGACATGAGCAAGAAACAATATGTACGAGTAAACGACGAGCTCTTACAAGAAATCACGACTGGAAAGAGACGATTATAAGGTGTAATTAATAGAAGAAAGCACTGTTTTCCTATATACTGCCGCCCAAAAGTGGCTCTTCTGAATTTTCAAGCTTGTACCAGCGCAACAAGCGATACCTTGTGTACTATGAGGAAATTTATTATTCGTATTTGATAAACCGGGTTAAACACGTAGCGTCCACACTGACTAAAGCTAACAACTGGTGACAGTATCATCCCTGTCACACGAAAAAGTTTTTCGTTGACTACTGATCAAGCGTTTTTTCCCACGTTGATGCTGCAGTCGTCTTTACACTTCATTATGGTACTGCTGATGTGCTTTTATGGGAATCTCTAGAGCTAAACTTTGTATCTGCGTTTTTTGGAAATAGGAATATAATTATAAGACCGAGTTCTGCGAGACAAATGCAGCCGCTTTATATCAGCACGAAAGCCGTTCGGAGCTGCAAGTACGACGAAACGGAGGTCTGGTTCAAATTTAGAGGATCAGAAAAGATGCCAATCCAGATACTTTTTAAATAGCTAAATTAAAGAGATATAAATAGATAAAATTTTGAAAGGCTGTTTGGTCGTTTCCCTAGTGTACATATGCACAATATGCGGTATTCTGGTAAAATTGAGTAATATAATCTTTCAGAACCATCTAAACAAATTGAGTAATATAATCTTTCAGAACCATCTAAACGTGTAGAAGAGGTTTTGGGGTGAGCAATACTCAAAGCTGCGTGTTATGTCACAATGTAATTCAAGTATTGTCTTATTGCTAGGAAATAACAATGTTAGTATGATATAATATAATAATTAGAAATGAAACAGACAGAAAATAAGGCCCATATTCAGTTTTTGCCATCACCGATTCACGCGCGTCAGTTAGCCGAAAAGGTGTAACATGTGCATTGCAGTATAATTGCCTTTTGTGTAAAAGTTATCTCAATTTGACCTTGTTATGGGATTACCTTTTAAATGGCGTACCTAGATATCATCGAACACGTTTAACAAGCTAACATACCTGCCAACTCCCATTGTTATGATCTGAAAGCAGGTCACACTCCTTTTATCTAAACGGCCACACTTTAAAATGCCATGCAAAATCGAAGACCCCAGACTAGGTCTACTAGAGTCTGTCCTCTGTCCAAAGTCGTCTTTAATCTGGCACTCAACGTTTAGCGCGATTTTCCATATAAACCAATGGCGTTCGGTGAGACGATTACAACAATCACGTCATTGAGATCGACATATGGTACGGCGCGAAACTGTGCCAACGAGACGACATCCTTGTCACTGGCGATGACATGGCGCAAGCGTGAAAGTGATTGTGTTGAAGGTTTGAATGCTCTTGCAGAACACGTGCGCATGTACTGAGTACCTCCCGCTGGGGGATCCACCAGCGCCAAAGCTGACGTCACACGCATTCAACTAAAGGTCCCGTCATTAATATAATTTTAAGATGTCGAATCGCTCTATCTGCTAAACTTATTTAGTAGACAATGTTTACTGAATACGTATTTGCAAAGGATAGATTTCTGTCTGTGATGCAAGTCCTCACCAAGCCTGAGACTAGATTCGGGGTTCGCAATGGTTTGCAAACAACTGGTGAAAATGGACCAGTCTCGAAATCGCATGAGGGTTGGATGCAACGATGCCATTCAAGGAAACTCGTTAGAAAACGAAACCAAACTGTCTATAAACGCAGAAAGCCAATGTACCCCATAGATTAGATGTCGTTTTGAAAATAAACATGGATGGTTGTTGGACTCTAGGTTAAAGTTAGGTTGTATGAATATCATACATACAGAGATCGATTAAATAGCAGGAGACCTTTTCGGTTTTAAAAATAACGAAAAACAAAGCTGGTCAAGCTGCTCTAGGTTCTAGTATCAAAATGTATTTGGTTGACTAAATTCATTGATGCAATGCAGAAATAAAATTTTAACCCAATTGTGAGTCGCGCTATTTTGCTAATATTATATATCGCGCTGATAGAATATATGCGCGCTACCTTACAAATTGCTGATATTTGACTGGACGAAACCAATATTTGAGATATCCAGTAAATATCAAGCCCTATAGAGGTACCAGGTTTGGAAGTTAATATCGTTCAAGTTGGACCGGTTTTCTCACTCCCTTGGCATTACACCTGAGCTCCATTCATGAACGTAGAGGCATGCTTGAGATACTAATGATATAAAATGGCTGCCTTTCTAATTTGTTAGTTAGTAATATACGTTGTTGGTGGGGCTTGAAAGAGCGCTAAATGTAAAGTATTCCAGAACGAATAGATCAGTCTTTAAAGAGAATTGGCTACCGTTATATGTATATATGTCGAAGTAATAGAAGATGCAACTGAAAAATAACCATGGCTTCTTTCCCCAACGTGAGGAGTTCTCACACTCCGGCATTTTTCTATTATTGACATGAAAGATGACGCGACTCAGATACAGCTTAACAAATACGAAGCGCTCCTAGCCACGACATTTATAAACTTAAAAAAAAAATTAGAAAATACTATTGTATGTAATGTCTATTATTAGAAAAGAAACACATCTGTCTATATTAACGTAAATAAATATGGAATTTATTATTATTATAAATCGTTTATTGTTGAACACAAATCTATACAAAAGCTGCCAGCATGAAAGGTAATCCAGTGGTCACAATTGGACACCAACCTACATGCACATACAGCAAACTAGGTCGTCGTCAGTATTAGAAACTGTCTTACACAGTATCTATCCTTCAAGGCTTATTATTTATGTGCTGCTATCACCTAGGGCGGGTCTTTTCTTGTGCCACCGAGGCAAAAACTTCGATGCGAAATGCATACAATACATTATCATTTATTTTTGACAGGGGCCTAGCAAGTGATTAGTCGTTTAATATAGGGCATATTATTGAGCGTTATATGAACACAGGACCCGTTGGAGGTCAATCGTCTAAAGCAACGTTTAAAGATTGACTGAAGACTTTAAAGTGTTTACTTTGTTATTTGAATGGTAGATGTGAAAATTAAACTATTCACAGAGCTAATCTGAAAAAGCATTGCCGACATGTGTAGGGTCACTCACGCGGTGGCCCATATTTTAGTACCTTTTTTTAGATTAACATCCGTATTTGGCAAAATCAGCAGTACTATAAAACAGTTGGCCATTAGCATTTTGTTTCCTAATGAAATATGCTCAATCTAGGACCGTTATTGGGAAAAAATTCAGCTTCATCCATTCACATGGTCAATGTAAGGTGCATCTCTGTAAATAATAGAATTACACCGCTTGTGGTATGCATCTGAAATGAAGTGGCTTTTTCTGATATTCAGTTTCTCTCAAGAGTGGCTTTAACTTCAGCAATTATGTCAATAACAATGCTACAGGCACTAATCATCTCTAGGCTTGGTTTTTGTTCCTCTAAAAATATGAGAGTACAAAGTTGCCTCCTTACATTACACGCAATACGCATTGCTTTATCATCATACGTCTCCAAATTTGGAACTGCCGTCACAAAAGGTTCGTTTTTGGGTCTTTTGCTATACACGTTGTATATGCTACATATTGTACAGTTTTGATTTCGGCACCTCTTTTTATGGAATTAACAAAGCAGTAATTCACTCGACAAAAATTGCCTGTAAAAGCTGAACCTTCTAGTCGATAAAATAGCAACTCAACTTTCTGTGCAAATTATATAGTTGTCCATGCTTACCTCTATACACCTCTCTCTCTCTCTCTCTCTCTACATATATATATATATATATATATATATATATATATATATATATAGTGAAACTTCTTCACAAGCAGCAAAATCTAGAAAACACTCTGAATATTCTTCAACTTGAACTTTGTTACCTACCGCTATAAAAATGCTTTTATGAACCGCACCTTCCCCACCCATCCGAATATGGCAATCAAACAGAGATGAAAATATCAATCTATTGCAATTTTTAAATAAAATAAAAATAACTATGGGTACATTGATTTAAGGAACATAGGTAGATTAGCCATTCATTCATCGTACTCATTTCTTGCTAATTAGCCAACTCGCTTAGTCACTAGGGCAATCCTGCCTAATACAATATATTTGGAATTGATATTATATAGTACAATAATCTTGGCTAGTTTCTTGAAGTGCCCGTATTTTGTAAAGATTGTTCTTTTATGATTTTGCAGTTTGCAGACGCTATAGTGACACTATCGACTCTCGGTTTGCCTGCTCAGATCATCTGCAGCTTTTCATCATCGCTAAGGTATTCCGATTATCAAAATGGCGGAAAACGCAGCCAACAATTCCACCTTCGGCTTCCCTGGCACCAAGTGTCAGATGTGTAACACCTCACTGTTTGGTCAGGAAGAGCTCAACATTTTCTGAGTAAAATACTTCATTTCTAACTCAGTATAGAATGTTGGTAGATAGGATGTTCTTAACGCATTCAAATCCTCAGGGCAAGAAAAACTCCTACGAGGATAACCACGTCACTAGCAGTCGCCTGAGTAGCACCAGCAAGACGACAGCGCATCCGTTCAAAACGACTTGGTTTATCGTTTACGAGCCTTTCGAATTCAGCTTCGACAATCTGTCCATCAAAATATGTTATTGGATCGTTGTAAGGATACTCGTAGCCTTGGTTACATTCACATTTATATCCGCCCTGATCGAAGCCTCGCCCAAGGATTGGTACACACTGAAAAGAATAGAGTTGTAATAATCTATCCGGCAATAAGCGCTCATCTCATATTTATACGTTACTTTATTGAATTGAAAATTAAGATTTTGGGACAGTTACCTAGTCCTTTCTCAACTCGGTGCGTATCGAAGCTGCAATCTCAAGGAAATGTGCGAGTAGACTTGGTCTTCTGCTTGCATAATTTTAAATCGAAAGTATTATTATGATGTTGAGAAGGCTACGAGATCAAATCGGATAAAATTATCAATTATCCATTTTATTCCTTTTTTTTTTTTTTTTAATCATGAGTTTACAATATCCTAAAGTAGTACGATAATTTGGCACTGTCTTACTGTCTACAACTCAAATAGAGCTTAAATAGGTTTTGTTCATCTAGGCAATTGGTGCGAAAAATGCATTTGCTAAGCAAAAAAAAACGGTAGCTATCTTAAACGTCGTAGATAAACCCAATGTTACTAGATCCGAGCGATACGGCATGTTCAACGGCTACACTGTCTGTTACCTTTGAGCACTGCAATTTCTACAAGTTATCCATGCGCATTTTGCCACCAAGCGCAGTGTCTATAATTAGTCCACGAATGGCGGATACATTCTATACATGATGGTGTCTCAGTCTATTCTTAACGGAGAGCATATTTCGTACAACGCTAGTTTTACCGACGCACTGAAATCGGCAATGTTATGCCAGCGCGGTAGTATGAATATGAGAGATATGAACAGTCCTCGTAGTTGTGTAATGGCAACGTGCTCGCCCAGCAGATTTACCAATACGTTAGGCAATCTAGGTTCAAAATGGTGTCACCCGTTTTATGCTAAATGGGAAAACCACTTAAAGTCATGCTTTACTAGTGCAGCATCGGACATAAGGTTCAAAACACTCATGTTTAGTACGCCTAACCATTCGGTTTTGAAGGACTAGTACCGAACAAAATTGACATACAATGAGTAATAAACAAGAAACTGGAACAGCTTGGTTGGCCAATATACAGTTGATCTGTACTATAGAGTGTATTGTCCAAACGTTTTTGGCGAAAAAAGCCAATAGAACAGGAAGTATGCGTCCTCTAGACTTTATCCTTAAATGAAGGGACATGTTAATGGAACGTGTTGGATGGTGAATATGTTTACCATTGTTGACCTGGAGTAGATAAACTTATTGATGGTATCACGTATCCATGATGAATTATGATGTGGTGGCGAAAACCAGTTGCAGCCTTTCAAATCATCTCTGGGAGATGACCATACAAACGTTGGTAGCAACCTAATAACTCTAATAAATCTTCAACGTGTTTTAAGTTAAATAGCTTTTACAATTAATGGAATAAGGATGTTCATGACTCAGCAGTGATGCATACCCTGGAGGACCGGCGATCACACTTGTGCGTGTTTTCAAAAGCGTTATTTTCTGAATATTTTCCGTAGTCAGGACACTGGTTGATTTCTAGCTGTTCCAGCTCAATATTCACAGCGACGACGCCTCTAGATAAGGAAACAAAATACGTAGGTTAGGTTAGGTTACAATACAAAAAAAGGCTTCTGAATTAAAAACGAAACAAGAAATTAAAAACGAAAAATGAAATAAGACAATTGGAACGATCTTTTTGCTCGTTCATTTGATTTGATTTGTTTCTCTTGTTTCTCCATTTTCCTATATGAAAGCGCACCCAGAGACGAAATGCTTAGTTAAACGAGCTTATAATACATTTTCAAAATGCAGCAATTTTTTAGCTAAGGAACACACCTACCCCAATTGTCTCATTTTGGAAAGCTGCACGCTATAATCAAACAATTTAGGGTTAATGCATTTTGATCGAGCTGCCAACATTGGCTTTACTAATTAGCTCGATCTTTGACCTCAAAGGATAAAACCTTAATTGGACGATTAAAAGTTATACCATCGATGCTAACAATGACGTTCAAGGACGGTTAGAAGCATGACAGCACACGACAGACGTTCCATATGCTTTCTTTAATTTATGTATGAGTTTGTGTTTCGCTGAAAATATGCTTTACTAAACGTCGAGCTGTTAATATATAAATGTAACCAATTATACAGGCGGACAGTGCGAAAAAATGCCACTAACTTAAACTGCAACCGCGCTCGCAGACTATCCCACCCGAAGAACGGGGCCGCGTATGTCACCATCCACGAGTTGTGATAGCCTCCACAATCAAAATACGGTGAGGTCCAGTACCCATCCTTCACATCAGCAGCCTAAAGAAAAGCAGACAGATATACCTTGAGTACGGACAATTTAAAGCATGTCTTGCATTAGGCTACTAGACAGGCTTTTGTTCGGCTGGCTGATTATAAATGATTTATGTTAGGTCGAATATTTTCTGATTAGCTCGGTATGCTCTAAAATTGCTCTCTGTTTAACGTAATGATAACGTAACGCATTCTTATACGGTCTTACTGAAGCTTCCAGAGTTTCAAAAGAATCCGATTACTTCGAGCATACCTTGTATTGCAGAGGAAAGTGGTCGTATTTTATAGCCGAATGTCCCGTTGAGTTGTATCGGATCCGTATCTTTGTTGTGTATGTAGTCAGATCATCCAGGTTTGCGCTCCACTGAGTGCGAGGGTGTTGGTACCACTCCTTGTTGAGGTAATCTCTCCCGCTGTTGGTATTTGCAAATCTGCCTGTGTCGTCTACGAAATACTTACGTTCGTTTCGTCCCCTGAGAAAAACAGTTTATACGTATGAATATAAATTTTTTAAAAGCCTCTCCATCGGTAGTGTGTGAATTTGGAAGGGAACACAAGACAAGTAAGTGTCATTGGAAGAAATCGCGATTCAAAAGTTGTGCCTTTATTTAGGACATATCTTAGTCTACTATTATTTTATGGTACTACTCGAACTCTCGTGCTGATGGAAAACAATTGAACCCTCAAAGAGCTGATGTTTTTGAATTACTGTTCTATCTATATAAGGGATGCTAATGGACTTAAGCGGTTTTTCCGTTATAAAATATATTGGAAAGAATGGATCTGTAACAGTTACATGAACACGCTTACGAAGAATGTTTCAAAAAAGCAAAACAACCACCTGAATGAATAGTGCAACAGAAATACACGAAGAATAAAGTGACTATTACTACTTACTTTCTCCACGCATATGGGCCAAAATAGTTCCTGTCGGTGAAGGCCTTATAGTCAAAATAGATGCCTGCGCCCACAACTTTCTGATCTCCAATTACGATGGACATCACCTCTCCTATCATCTGGTCTGCTGTTAGGGATTTGTCCGGGACACGGAATTCTGCAAACAGGTCCTAAAGAAAAGCAGCGAAAAGGCACGGCGTATATTAGGATATTCCATATAAAGGATAAAAAAATATCAGATGTGAACACGTACCTTATAGTGAGGGTCCAAAATGCACTTGATAATGCGATTTTTATAAAGCATCAAATATCTCTTGCATATTATATTGTGATTTATTTACTGTAATACAATCTGCCAAAGATGTTGGATGCAGATCGACAAACTTCTGCAATAATCAATGGGCGGAATATCCTTAATAAAAGATAAATATCTGTGTAAAGCCTCTGTTTCTAATTAATAAAGATTCGCACTGTCACGACTGGAATTATTATTTAGAAAATCCGTCTTAGTATTTTTGATGTTTCTGTAAAGTTATCTACCTTCGGATCAACGATCTGCAGGAATCCAGAGACGAAGTTGGCGAGGCGAACCGCCATTCTGGCTTCGTTCTCAAGTTGAACCTCCTTCCCGTAGACTACGTCACCTCCCAGGCGAAGTGCATCGGGATTTTTTTTTCGGATATCTGCACAATTTCCGGGCCGCACCTGTTGCAATCGACAATCGAGTTGCGGTTGAGTGGATAAATTATTTTTATTTAATGTGAATCTAGAATAATTTAGTAAAACTATACATCTGGTCTATGTGGGAATCTCATCACCTACTCAAAAAGGATAGAGCTTACAAACCTGTCGCATTCGTTTGAGAAGTGCAAGCGGGTCAATTCTGGTTCCGTTACTGACGCCGTCTATAGCCATATAGTTCGCGTAGCGTCCAATAAGCTCCCACCGTTTGTCTTCAGGTACCCGGTTAAGGGTCTGTGTCAGCACGGCGATGTAGCCAATTTTATCGCATTGGTAGCCGTTTTCATACTCATGCTTCGACGCCCTCTCAATCAGTTCGCCGTGGTAAGGGTTACGCACGACGCGAGGCCTTCGAAAACCTGGTTTACATCTGAAGTGTTAACATTAGCAATGTGACTTAATTCTATCTCACATCTCATAAAATACATATTTGATCTAAGACAGAATGCGACAAATCTAAATGTTTTCTACTATAATCTCTAGCGTGTGTGAGGCGCTCTATGATTATAGGAAGCAGATTATCGCATATATTGTATAGTATAATATACAATGTGTCGTATACAATTTATTATACTCAATTAATATACTCCAACCCCGAGATGACTGCCGCTGGTGCGGAGTACCCTGCGACCTAAATCACGTAGGATTTTTCCTCTCAAGGCCTTCTTTAAATGAACTTTCACATTTATACGATATTCATATGGATTATACATACTTGAATATCACACTTCTATGGTTATGACGATATTTTATATCCTAAACTTATGTTTTCTTTATACTATATACGATATATTTAACAACAGGTATGGCTAATGAACATAAAATATATTAGGGAATAGGGGAGGGGAAGAAGCAAAATTTTAGTGATCAAATATCAGAGAGGGAAGGATGACTAAAAAAAAAAGCGTATCAAAATCTGAGACGCAGGCCAAAGATATTCTTTAGGCGAAGAGTAAACAAAGGAAAGAATACGATAACTAGAACCAACGCATTTTTTAGGGGAAGGCAGCAAGTAACCTGAATATAGGAAACAAGAATTTATGGTGGCCAAATTACGTTCGCTTAACGGAGTGGTTAATATCTAACAATGCCTTCTCTATTACTATCCGGGCTCACGGTATACAATGCAAACGAATCGCTTCCATACGCCCATATCTAGATAACCGCATAATAATTGAAATTGTTACCCAATTTTCACAATTCGCCTTTATATTAAAAGATAATTTATATGTTATTTAAACGAAGGTACTTAGCTCAGTCTTCTCATCCCCCTATATACACACATCTCACTCAGCTCTTCAATAAACCCTTACACAAATACTTCACTCAGTTTTTCAATAAGTCTATACAGAATCACTTCCCTCAATTTTGTACAATAGCGTTTTCCTACACATACCGACTTAACGTAGGCAAACGTCAGCTCTTAATAGACTTTAGACGCAGCGGTAAGCGCCAACACCGCTTCTATATAATACACAGCAGTTCTCGTAGCACCGAGAGTAATTAAGCCCATCTGTCGCTTTTACACAATCCTAGCTCGCGAGTAATGTGAGTTTCCATGGCCTTATGCCTAGTCACAAATATTTAAAGATAATTATAATAACAATAGCAATAACGCGGCCGGAGCGCCCTTGCGGCCGACGCTACACGGAGTGCACCCCTCATTGGCTAGCACACTAAAAAGGCCGTTCCTCGCACATATTTAAATAAGTAAGGAATCCTCATGGGAACCCAAAATGATGCACACTGCGTGCAGAAAATGAAACTATATTATCAAGGGGACCGACTTTTGTCGCCAAACAGCTACTATTGATTAGGAAAAAAAAAGTATTCCTAACGTACATTCAAGGGCATGAAACCTTACCTGCATTGGTAACCTCCACGACGGAACCCGTACCCGTGGACGGGTTCGCAGTCCGTCGTATCGTTTTTACAGCGGGAAGTTCCGGCGAAATAGTTCGGTCGAGGATTTCCTGGCCCGAACGGACACTGGTTAATGTCGATACGCTCAAAGTCGAGTTCCATTACAGAAACGGCAACGTAGCGGGGTATTTCAATGTGACGCCATTGCGTATGTCGGGGATAAATATCAGGAATGGGAGCTAACGGAATGCGTGAGAATAGTACTTAGATAACGAGCCTTGTTTGCACAGTGTAGAAGTGTGTCTCACATGTTAAATATATAAGAGCAGTATATTTAAGATGTCGTGCAATCATTCCATTTAAATGTGATAAATATATCTTTAAAATTTTAGAAGATCTAAAGCGAGAAGGCAACCTGCATCATTTTCATATTACTCCGTATTTTGTATGTTCAACCTATAAGCTGGTTATTCTCCCCATGGCTGCACGAGATCTTTTTTTGACATTTAAAAGTTATATGCGCTTCATTGATGTCTGAGTCATTACTTTGAATCGAAAATCTGGCCGTGCTGTCATCTAACCTGTACATGGGTAGATTTCTTATTACTTACATGTTGCTCCATAAACCCATTTGTCGGATCTGGTGCAATCAAAATATGGCCGAACCCATTTTACCGGTCCGGGATTATCATTACCGGCAGGTGGACCATGCCAGACGAAGGTGTCGTTGTTCCCGAAATAGTCGGTAATTTGGACGGTATAGGTGGTTTTTGAATCTTGCCGTTTGGTGAGGTCGGGCAGCCAGGCCGAATACCACTCGTTGATACGGTATTGGTCGCTTGAATAGTTCAGTGACGGAGAATCTGGCGGTATGGCTCCAAGATCTATAGCTTCTATTGTATTCAACGTTGATGTTCCTTCTAGGTGATACGGATCATTAAAATCGTCGGATCTAAAACAAATTATGAATTAGATATCGGTCAGAGCAGAGAGAATAACAGAATATGTTAGGCAAAATGAATGTTTAATAAAAAACAACGACTAGCCATTAGTTACATGCAAAATGATACCAGACCATAAAAATTAACGTATTTATCCAGTAAGCGGCTAAAATTCTTGAGTAGTTATATAAACGAAAATGTTTGATTCACATGCCTGCCATATCGCCCTAGAAACAAACCTGAATGCTCTTGGCGCGAACAAGGGCATGGTCTTGTTGAAAAATCCTTTATACGACGGCGTAAACGACATGTTCGGTGCGTAGTAGATCGCCGAAGCGTTAATGAAACGATTGGCTGCTACGTCCGCGATGACCGACATAAAATAATACATGAAGCCAGGTTCGTCGTTGTCTTTCGCCCTCTGAAGGATAAAACTAATGCGGAGACAAAGCGAAAACGTAAAAAGCCGAAAAAAATGCAAACTAGCACATACATCCAAAAGATCTATAGTGTTTTGGCTTTTTTATGTATGCAGAAAGAATCAGACATACAATAGCGTTAAACCTACATTATTGTAATGGGATATTAGTTATTATTAATTTAGTTTTACAGTTTATAGTTTAACAACACTTCATGTTGTTGTAATGCACAATAGTTTTACTTCGAATGTACCGGGTCCAGAGGTATATCGTCTTACGCTTTTCATGTCTCGAAAACATTTCATAGAGGATTGTCTTTTCATAAGAGTGTCATTCCATAGAGAACTAATTTGATATAAAATTTAACTTTAAAAATATTGCTTTAAAAAAAAAAACGTGCCATCATACTTTCAGGTTAGTTCTGGTGGTAACTGCCAGCGACAACCGCTCAATAAAAAAGAATCAACATCGTAAAACCTTTAATTAACGTAATTAGATTATATGGTTTAATAATGCTTATAGGTCGATCTGTGCAGAAAAATCAAGTATTCTTTTTATAGTAGTAAAACGGTGAGATATTTATAAGAAGTCACTTCTGTGACAAATACAGTCGTCCGCATTTACATTTTATTTATAGAAAAACTATTTTCATGATGTCTTTATAGAAGACGTATTCCATGTTATTATCTACTTACTAAATCAACTTGACCGATTAAAATATAAATCGAAGGTAATTAGGGAGGGTACGACATGAAATTAGAAAACTGCGAAGGTTCATTAGTCGAAAGTTTTAGTACTGTGGTTAAATTTCCAGCTTTTCTGTGATCTTGACTAGTTAATATCATATCATAGAAATAAGCGTTTGTTATATTAAAAATAAGTTATTCATACGTGAGTATTAGAACAGTTGGCTTAAGTAAAATCCCCTAATTCGATTGTTTTAAAACACTGAGCTACTTTATCTGTAAATAGAATCGAAATACAAAATCAATTCCAAAATTCGCTAGCTTCACATCAAAATTGCTACACTTTTTCGTAGGTTAGCTTTTTTCAAACCATCGTCTAGGTATTGCATACACCATCGTTTGTATGTTCTAGTCCATATTGCTTGTCTAAAGCTATTTATAGAAGAAACTATTTGCTTCTTCATTAGTGGAGTGACTGAATTGGCAGGTTACATTCGAAGTTACTTTATCATTCCCCGAACAGAAGCTTCGCTTATAAATGCATATAAAACGGCTGTCTCTAGTGGGATCTGCTGCATTTCCACAACAGTAATTGCAGCAAATGCCCCTCGAGACCCATACGGATCGAAACTCCAAGCAATTATTAAGTAACTTTAAGATGTACTTCTAAACCGACATTTAAGAAAAATCTTTCTTGGTTGTATTGTAAGGCAATTTCAAATTGTGTAGTTGGATAATTCTAAACAAAGCATTGCTTCTGCTATCACTTCAACTAACAGGAATGATTTGAATCGATCTCTATATAATTCTCTGCATAACAATTGCATGTTATAATCAATTGGATTACGTGAAATACTGATCTGGTTAGTTATGCCTCATATTTACTGTAATTTATGAATAAAATGTAAAAACAATCATTATCAAAAGTATATTTTATATCTAGTATTTTATTTTTATAAAGTGATGAAGTTTTTTTCTACGTTCTGGCAAGATCAACGATTAAAAACAACTATACAGCAGACTTTAATATTTCACGCATAGTTCACACACAAAGCCTTACCTTTGATTCACTCCAGTGGCAATCTATTAATTACGACGATCTTCGACGTCAAGAGTTAACACTTGACAAAAAAATAACGGTGTCTCATAAAAATCTGCAAAGTCGTTGTAAACTATCATAAAACAGCATAACTTACAAACCCATGACGCTATTATCTGGCATGAATCCTTTGTAGTTTTGGTTAACATAAAAATTAATTTAAATAAACTTCATAAAATCTATGCTTCATTGTGTGTAAAATATTTCTGCAGGCGTTGTGCTTTTGCACGCTGTACCAGGTTTATACATCTATGTATGCTTTATATCAATCTATAATCTTATTGAATATGCTTATGCATCTAGCCCACTTATTAGCACTTACCTGAAAAAAAACGCTTTGCTTATGGCCATATTGTGTATATGCAAAAGATTTGTCCGGTTTGGAAATACAGGATCGATGTTCAACTGCTTGATATTTGGCACATGGGTGACTGTGTCATTAGGCAGGAAAAGCTCATTAATATCCTGAATGCGACAATTATGCTGTGATACCCTATCGAATTTGTCCCGGATCTCATCAAACGCGTCTCGATCCCGGCTGAACTGAGCAATATTAACTGGCACCCTGGTAATTAATAGAAGCGCCAGAGTGACTAGCGCGCGAATTAAAACGTTCATCCTAGACAATTCGAGAATTCTCCTGGTTTAAAGTTATAATTCCTATGCTCGCAATGGGTACAGCCACCCCACGAAACTGCACCTGCCCTGTCCTAACACCATATGATGAAGTAGTACAGAACAAACAGCCAAAACGACTTCGTTCAAAAGGGTTCTTTTGCTACATCGTTATTGCCACCTTGAATATCGCTGTTCCGCAACTAGCGAACATGCATCGGCTATGACTTCACCACACTTCAAAATCAAGGCACCTCATCACTATCGAACCCAGCTTCACAAATCCTGTCCTCCTCACCTCACTCCGAAACTCGACTGAAAACTTTCCAAATAGTCAAATAGTGGTCTTTTAGGCGACTAACTTCGGATCGATGCTCCCTGACGTTATGATTAAACAAGCGTCCGTCTGAGGAGCGGCTCGCTGCCGTAAACCGAAGCCGCCATAACCACGGCACCACAGCACGGGTGTTTCTGGGAGAGGATTCATTATTTCGCGTTGCCCAGGTGACGGCGACGCGCACACGAGCTGAACGAATCCCAACGAAGTGTTGAACAGCCGACAGCGCAACGTTAGGCACTTGACGACTCTACATATAAAGGCCAAGACGACGTCGTTGAATGTTTTTGTCAGTTTCCCATTTCGCCGCACTTCGAAATTTCAGCTCGATCGCTCATAACAGAAAATTGTTTATCTAGGAGAATGCTATTGACGGGTTGGTTAACATCTAATGTCCACGTAGTAAAGGATGCAGTGTGCCTAGCTGTAGTTGATCAGTTAGTTAACAAAACTTATATAAAAAATTGAGAAACTAGATGTTGTGGATGGTTAAAAGATAATTTGAAATGGATCTCAGAAAGACAGCACAATTTCTTCAAACTTCTGATAATAAATAAATAAAACCTGAGGCAAAGTTAAAAAACGTTTCAGGTATATTTCATCCTTTGATTCGTATAAAGTCGGGTTAGTAGGTTATAGTAGGTGTACCATTACAGACACATTTAACCACGGTGGTACAGGGAACCTCTGACGCCCAAGTTGGTTCAACGTTCTCCGAACGAGTTTCGAGGTTTTTGCCAAGCGTCTTTGTAACATGACAGAAAAGATCGCAGCATAATATTTATATATTATTATAAATATCTAGGAAAGCAAATTGTTTGCCACTGTTCCACGAAAGCGGTACAGGCGCGGCACTTTGACGCTCAGGGGGCGATCGACACAAATCTGGGACTTCCTAGTAAGCAAGGATTTTCTGTACCTCAATAACTTCGATAACAATCAATGACTACTTTAGCCAGAAATCTAAGGAATTGCAGAAGTGTCCTGCATGATATGCGTCCCACTTAAGAATATGTATGGTTCTCGCAAAAATACAAATTGTAAATAAGTACTATCATGATATGAATAGAGAAAATGTGTGTTGAGTAACAGCTGAAAAACGGCCCGGTAAAGAGGAAACCATATACAACCCTTACTGTAGACTAACAAGAACTAAATTGCTTTATCATAATTCGCTTTATTACCTTTAAAATGACACCAATTCGTAGGATAATAGAATAGTTAGACTTAACAAGATTTGTAAAGGGAATTGAGGTATATAAAACATTTTGTCGAAGTATTTAAAAACTGTAATAACAAAGTCATTAGCAAATATTTGATGTCAGCAAACGCAAAGCTTAGTAACAATCTTTGGAGTCGTCCGCTGACGTCGCAAAGATGTAGACTCTCGAACGATGATTCAACAGTGCAATTGAATCAGAAGAGCTCTCAGTCACATATCCTTTCCCCCGCGGTCCTTGCGTGAAGTTCCTCATATTAACTTTTTAATAAAATCTTTAAAGAAGAACAGAAAAGTCGATAGTTAATTATTCCTCTACTTTAGTTAAGCAGTACTGTTTTACACAGGACGCAATATCTATAAAAAGATGTTAGCCTGTCTTTGTCGCCACACTTTTTCATCAAAAATTCAGCGTCAGAGGGGAGTGGCCTTCAATGAAGATATAGGTGCCGACACATAGACATTATGTAATTTACTGCTGTCGAGTGCGGAGTTCGAGTACCGCATACACAAAGATATATCTACTTAAGTTTAGTTTTAGGAAATAGATTGAAATGAAAAAGTGATAAGGATTAATTAAGGTATCAATTAATTCAGCGGAAGATGGAAAAATTGGCAATAAACGAAACCACAAAGCGAATAACATAATAGTTAACAATGAAATTAGGCATTTAGATACGCATTTCCGTCAGCGTACATTCAACTTGTAAATCCACCAGCAAACTGATAGCGCGGAGGGTTCATGTCAACGTATGTGCAAACGGACGTATAATATTTGCATTTAAAAAGATAATGGAACGAGCAAAATCCTAATTAAAAAGCACTTATCAGTACTACAGTAAAATGCGATTGGTTTGGTTACTGGGCTGAACCTGGCTGGCAGGGGCAGTTCTATTAGTCGTGCATACGACAATCATAACATAGCAATTCGATAATCAAAATAGCATTATATATCTCTCGCGCAGGTTCTATGGAAAACGTATATTTATTAAAAGTCGAGTGAGTCATGAAGGGAGTGTCACATGGTTGAGTTCATCAGTATGTGAAAAGCTAACGGGGCAGTTTAGAGGAGGGTGGCGGTGGTTATAGGTTGTATCAAACAATACGTCACTCATCAGTCTGTAATTAACACATTTTTGAGTAGCTATTGCTTTATTTTCTTGCATATTTAAATAATAGGTTATATATATATTTCTTTGAATTTTCGTTCCGTTTCGGCACCACTTATGCACTCCTCACTATTTGCTTTTATATCTATTATTCTTCTTCCTACCATTGTATTGCGGTTATTACAATCATTAATGTCACCTCTGTTCCTGTAATGACATTTTTGTGCCGGCCATACTGCATTTTATATTTTATGTCGTCGGTGTTTTCGTCACCTTTCTTTCCTGTTCAAACTAACTTCCTCATTTATTTTACTATAAGGATGACAAGTAACTTACAATGCGTAAAGGCGCGACTAATGCAGAAAATTTGAGTGGATGCATCCGTTTGGCGACGAACACTGTTTGTCCAGTCTTCGTTTGAAGCTTTCTCTCGCTTATCATGTGCTCTTCACGCATCCGTCCATTCGCAAACATCAATTAGCTAATTATTTACTATCCAGACAACCAAACATTTGGTATTTTCATTTTGCATTATATAATAATGAATAACAGTAATATTAGTTCCATGATTGTGGAATCGGCTGCGAAAACGGTTAAGAATAATTGAATATTAAAGTTGTCGTTTTCCTTACGTTGTCAATAATAGATTAAAGACGCGAGTGAAATGTGAGTGTGGGTGGTTTATACAAGTGCTAACAAGGTAGGTGTATTAGCTTGATTCAACTCTTCAAAGCATCTTAAGCACAAACACTCCAAACGGTCTTGAGTGGCTAAATTCGCAGCGATTGATTATCACCCAGAAAAGATGGAGACCGAGTGTATTCTTTTTTTCTTTTGCTTTAAAGTGATGAAAACGAAGTTTGTCAATCCTGAGCTGATGGATTTCTGTTGCCGCAAACGCTCGTGAGAGAATGACAAGTCTTAATCCGGCAGCACTTGATAATGCCAACTGATACAACTTTGTAGATTAAACGAAGTCCACAGCCTACTTCATCATATGGCATATTTCTGCCGTCGAATTAGAGATGTCTATTGACAGTGGCGGAATGTATTTTGGGATTTAGCTTTGTACAAAGCGGTTTTCAATGTAGCCGAATATCACCAAGTGACGATTCTAGCGCCTGCAAATTACCGAAATCAAAAAAAACACGGATGTTAAAAAACTTCGCGAACTTCACCAAAAAAAATTTTGTTTAATAGAGTTTGGAATTGTGACGGGCTACCTATTTCGATCGTAGATGGTACTATTAGATTTGGCTTCATATGAAACACAGCCCTAACGTTATCTCCAGTTTTCCATTCTTCTTCTAATAATGGTCGTCAAGGTTAAGTTCTATGCTCTTATCTAATACTAACCTTAACATCCCAAATAATAAGTCTGCTATCGACGCCAGAAGTAGCGAATTTGGCAACTTTATCACCAGTTGTTGTGTGTGCGCTAACTGAAGTGATAGTGTTCTGATGCAAAGTGGCTACAACGCCGGATCCAGTTGAATCAGGTCCACTGGCTGAATCAATGGAGAGTTTGTCCATGTCGCGAAACATTCGCATGGCCGAAACACTGCCACCCCCTTCGATCTTTTTCTGTTTGTCAAGCGACGAGATAAATTTTATTCCATTGTTCGTCACCTCAAACAACATGGGATAACAATCGAAACCCTGCAATAAATTGCATATGGTCATTCATCCGATTTAACAACTAAATGGATATTGCTGTGTGACACATCGATCCTTTGGCGAGTGATTAGACAACCATGTGCATTCAATTTTTATCAAAAAAACACTTATATAACTTGAACTAATAGAAGTCTTTGTTAAATAAAGAAGTAAGCATTGTAAAAACGACGGAACCAGTTGATTCTGTTGTCAAATCCGTAACAGCTTCCTTCTGCTATTTGCAGCGTGTCTAGAAAACTTTTGTTATTCATGTATCACGCAGCAAATCACTCTGCAAATAGAGCTAAATAAACTAAAAAGCATACGCAACACATCCGTTAACAAAGTAGCCAACACATCCGAAGTAACTCCGACGTGAGGAAGTAAAATGAAAGTTATTATCGCTTCGAAGTTTTTCTCGTATCCAGGACATGTTTGCCGCTTTAAAATAAACTTGGGATAAATTTTTCAGCCAGATGAATACCAACCGCAGCGACAATCTTCGCGGGGCTTAACCAAATACACTTCAGAAGTGGCATGCCAGTCATATTAAACGATGCCACGTGCTTACTTCCCGCAGTCGCTACCGCGATTGAGCTATCATGGGACACCCACGCCACTCGGGTACCGTCAGGTGAGAATGCCACACCATGCACCCAACCAGCGGCAGGAAATTCTGCTAATAATTGCGCCAGTGGCATGCGAGCACCCCATGGTGTCGACTCTGGTTTCTCCTCGATCTCTTTAATGTAGGCAGAAAACACACGCGTTCTGAAAACGGCAAATCAACTTGAACTATAATTTACTTCCTTAATGTAACTTAATGTTCCAATTACATGGAAGCCACCATGCGTTATCTTAAAATACATCCATTTACCATCTGAGGCGACAATAACTAAAGCCCTAAAAAGCCCGTAATAAATTCACGAATGAGGTTCTATCGTTTAAACGAAATAATTATTCTAAGCTATATGAAGCATCTGCTTCCAACGCGATGAACCCGCATTAATTTATTTGACTGCTTGACTTATTAAATTCACATGTAACTTCTCGAATTCCACCCCAGAATTATTGTAAAACAATGCAGATTGAGCGTATGAAGCGCTGGCGTTCTGTTAAAAATAAAGCCAGATGTTCTTATTTAGTTAAGATCGTTGTGAAGCACAGAATATGCCCACAAATTGGTACAAGTTCCCATTCCAAAAAAACAACATACGTATTATAAGCTTAACAATATCGGTATTACAAAATAAGCGATCCTTTGTTTTTCTACAGTATTGTTCTAGTTTTCCACTTCGTTTTTCATGCAGCCTTTTAGACGTGCTCTTGAGTCACTTATATAGGATTCCACTCGTACCTAAAGTCGGTGCAGCCCGTGGCAAGAAGCACATTATTGGGGTGCCAATCAAGACAGGTGATCGTAGAACGCATCGGTTTCTTTATGTGTTTCGACAGCCACCAATTGTTGTCCTCAACGAAAAAACATACCGAAACAAGCTTTGCCCCTGAGCCTGCTGCAAACTTGTTCTCTTTTGGTGACCATCTCACAAAGGTCGCCGCACGATTAATTCGTAGATGAACAAGTACAGGATTCCTTATAAAACAGAAAAATGTAAATTAATTAGTGGATTGTTTTACACTAATAAAAAATATTACTTTCCTTTATGTAATGTCTTGGTAGAACTGCATAGATTAATTAATGCAGAACAGTGAAAAATGCGTCACTCACTTACTGCTGAAGCAAGTTTTTAGAAGGAACGACTTTAAAAATCGCTCTTTTTATGAATTTACGAGATTTTATGAGTTACATTGTACTGATAAATTTATCTATTTGAAATCAATTTAAAGAGTAATCTGCTGGTGTTTTTCATTAGTTTTTACCATGTCTTTCCATCAAAATTCCAGACGTAAGCATTTCGATCTGCTGAGCATGTGACGATACGATTGGATATTGGGGCCCAATCTATTGACGTCACCCGTAGATCGTGTTTCGCCAAAGTGTGCGATGGTGTTGGTTTCCAGCCCACGGAGTCTTTATCATAGATTTCAACATCGGTATTATTTAACGATACGGCCACTTCTGGAAACCCGTAAGGAAAGAGATCCGCGCATTTTTGTTAACACATACTGGCAAAAAATATCGGGAATCATCTACCATCGAACAGTAATCGCCCTAAAGCAGAAGAAATTTACATCTTTTTCGAAATTTCTGCTTATTAACAAAAAACAAATCTGCGAAGGTGTAGTGCTTTTGCTGAGTAATATAAAGTAAACCAACAGCAATAACAAGTGGGTCTTCAGTAAAGCAATCCAATCTGAGTAGACACTCTACTACGGATAATCCGCAATAGATAGAAAGGCAAGAACCCTGTTGCCTTGCGATTTGCTTACTAATCAGTTTTGCGATCACGAGATTCGCTTGGTCCAAAAACACTTGAATCTCTGCATTTGCAAGTGACTAGCATTTCGTCTTTCTGCCGTATATGATGCTTTATAGAAACTGACAAGGCGTCAACTACGCCGGCATTCTGACGAAGCGTAACGTTGAATACCAAGATAATAGGCACGTAATCTTAGCATAATTATGCTAAACGGTAATATTACGTCCATAGAAAATTAGCTGCCCGAATAACATACAACAACTGACTAACCCGCACAAAAAACGGTTATTTTCGGAATTTCTTAATCTTCGACAAACTTAACTAGTACTCGAATGATGACATTTCTTAATAACCACAATTATATTTGCGTTAAGTGAAATTACTGTGGCAAATAATTATCGAAGTATAGAAAGGGAAAACTGGTGGACTTCACTCGGTCTCTTGTTAGTTATTTATTTGACTTAAACTAAATAATATGCTGAATACTCACTTGTGCGATCCTTATTGAAGGCATGACAGCTCACTGGAGCCACTCCAAAGCTGTGTATATCCGCCATGATCCTAAAGGACGAAGCAAGTCTCAGTATTTGTCTAATGTAATCCACACTCCTCATTCATCTTATTGATGTAGGCGTATATTTGTATAAAGTTTTGTTGCCTTGGATGTCACTCTCTTTTATTTAATAGCTAGAAAGTTAGTCATCAGCCAGTTCGGAAGTCTGCTCCATCCGCCCGCACGCTCGAATAAGCGGTAACTACAATACTACTTGTAACAGTCATGCAACGCGACGGTCCTGACAAAGAGCAACACGTCTTAGGTAACCCCACCAAGACATTCACGCCTATAGAGTCACACTGAGAAGCAATACGGTAAAGCATTGAGATAGAAGTACCGATGACGGCGGCGACTCCAGCATCAGCAGTTCGCTATGGGTGAAATGACTCGACAATTGCCATGTTTGTACGCGTGGCAAATCAGAGTTGAGCTAAACTTAGCTAAGCCATTATGACTGCCTAATGCTGGTACTGTTATTGCAAGGAAGAATGTTACGAATTAGCAAATCTGCTGACGGAAAATGAAGCGGTTCAAACAATTTCGATAATATGGGAGGAGCTGTGGCTAGGAACTAAGGCCCATATGCAACCTACACGGTACTGCTTATGTGAAACGTGTCATAATGTTTTTTTATATCTTTAATGTAGGAAAATATGTCTATTTTTAGACGGAAATATATTCTAAAGATAGATGCAAACAAGTAAGATTTAAAATATAACCATATGTTTTAACATAATAAGTAACATGTGTCATTTTTTGCAAAATGACGCCTGTAGAGAAGATCAAGTTATTGTTGTTTCCTTTAAATATCAGTTTCTGATATTAAAATAATATTGACTAACATACTTCACAATAGTAACTGGTCAGATTAGTGCTCCCGTACAGGCCAGTATCGCACCTAATGATCGCATACCATCGACAAATTAAAACCTAATTAATATGGTGACGTTTTGTGATAGCCATTCTATCAAATCACAAGCTCACCCCTTGATCTTTGTTCAGTCTGCAGTACGCGAGTGCACTCCTTTTCAAGCAGCTCTGTTCACACCCTTGCCTTTAAACACTAATTCCTAAAGGTTTCTTCCCATTTGGCCAACTCTTTCTGACATGCCAACGAAAACGAAGCCACCGAAATCGGTTCTTCCGACGTTTCATTCACGTTCTACGAGCAATGGAACAGTTTCGCCTTAGTATATTTATTTCACTATTATTTAATTACCTATTTAACGATCACGAATGAATCATAGCTGCTATGTGACATCTGCAATATTATGTGTTCGAAGTGTGTAATAGTGTTCGAAGTATATTATTATTCGGCTCCTGCAATTAATTAGGCTCCAAAAAGATCGAGAAAAGCCGAACGGACACATTTACCAGCGATCTACTAATACAAACGGCAAACAATCTAAATTCAACGGGAGATTCCTAAACTACTAGCAATGAGGTATTTCTCGACGATCACAGTTTAGCAAAACGGAAGAGTGCTTCCATGCCGGGTGCATTGGAATCGTTCGCCGGCCGGGCGGTATATAGACCACTCCCACAGCAGAAACACCTTCCACCCGCATAACCTACTACAGCACCTAGGAACACACTTACCCGGCGGCTTATATCAGGGGCACGAAACAGTTGCAGCAAGTCGATGTTAAATCACCAGATGATGCGAATTCCAGATATCTGACGGTTTGTTTTAGAACGTGCTGGGGAAAGGACAATTTAGCCAGTAGCACGAGCTACCCCGAGACACGCAGGCACGAATATGCACAGAGCACGCAGCCGGAATTGCACTCGTAAACCAGTGAACCGCACGGCACTGGGTGAAATGGGAGGATACAGCGCCCACACGGTTCGCCTTCTCGTCGTCGTTGTCGTTTTCGGAGGTGTAATGTCTCAAACAGCCTCAGCCCTTTACACTGAGTGTCCTACCCTTCACTACTATAACGGCCACTGCAACTTAGTCAGTACACAGAGGTACCTATCTAGAACAGACATCCCGATGATCAGACATACCCAGATGAGATTTGATTGAAAGAAGCAGCAGTGTGGCGACCGTAATGTTATGATTGCCATAGAACAGCATAACTAAGACAATCCGCTCTGCCGGCTAGCAGCCGTCTGCTAAACAATCACACACTCATGGACAGAGGCATAAAACCTGATACCAGCCGTTAGCCACAATCATTCGTTGCGGACACCCTTGCCGCCGACAACGACATACAACCGAAAATAAGCGTCAGACAATAGCAATGTTGCCTCCTTGACCAATACCCGGACGAGGATGGTTACTGGTACGGGTAAGTGAGTTTATCGACGGTGTTTGATAATATCCTTCTACTGCATGTCGTGTCGTCTGTTACGCGGTACTATGGGCGCTGCTTAGCTTGAGTGAATATGTGTGTCTGCAGGAAGAATCACTGTGGGAGCGCGAAAATTTGAATGTAAATAAGCGCTGCCAGCCATGAGTAAATGGATCTAAGTCATGGGTATTTTGGTAAATTAAAATGATGATAGCGGTATATTAGTGTGGTCCAGGTCTAATCCGGTTTGATCCACGGTTGAAGACTCACCATCGATTCGTACTATGTAATATGTATAGCGGAATTAGGATCGTTTAATAACAATATCTAAGATACTGTTGGTTGTTGGAATTTCTTTGGTAAATGTTGTTCTGAACAAAACATAGTGACGCACCATTAAAAGGATAAGGCGACAGTGTCTGAGAGTGTCTAAAGCAAATTCTAATGATATAGATTCTATATATATATGTTGTGTCTTCCTAAGTACTTACATAATAGAGAGCAAAAGTAAGTAGAAAGGTACTGTAGGTGACAACAAACTTTACTGAAATGGCAGACCCTTACAAATTCTTTCTCCACTATGGATTTCCATAGGATTTTTTTCCTAGCTTATCGTTTCTTCCTGCTCCTCCCAAATGTGACTAAGCAAATATATTGCTAATTCACAGGAAAAACAATCAAAGCAACACAATGTATTTATTTTTTGAATTAATATACTTACGAAAGAAACTAGCTGTATAAACGCGGTAAGTAATAAATTATGTCGATGTTCATATGATGAGTATTCGTAGAAAGCCCTTGTTAATAAAATACGAAAACAAAAACGTATTAATTAATGCTAAGTAACTGCTTTCAACGAGCTGGTATCATTTGCTTTGCGCAACAATGCGGTATATACAAAGGGTTACCCTTAACTCTTCTATATCATGTCATTCTTTAAAATCCTATGGAAGCTTCGCAAAATGAAATTTTTCACGAAGTATGGTCCTATTCTATAAAACTTGTTTACCAACATCACAAAACTGCATCTAGGTACAATGTCCATTGCTGAGATGTCGGACTGCTGATCCGAAGTAGCCTGATGGCGTTTTTCCCTTCTTCGCCTTCTCCTGCGGGCTGAACATAGAATTCCAGAACAAATCTTTGCCACTGGAGATCATCAAGCAGATCCATCAGTTTGACCGGATCTAATGCTTCCGTCCGACCTAAAATGGTCGAACGAAAAAAAAATTCGGTAATACGCAGCTCTACCGCACCTTTGGCAATTCAGTATCGGGTAAGTGCCAACAGCTATCAAGCGCAGAAGATCTCAATAAGCAGAATAATGCACCACAGATTATTTTCGTTTCTAAAAATATAATCAGATTGAATAAAACTTGTTGTCTGTTTAAATACATATATACAGTAAAGGGCTTGACGATCGAGAACCCAAGGACAATTTTTATGCTTGATTTTTTTTGAGAACCCCATTTTTCCAAACACATTAGGCTAAAGAGAACTCCTGACTTAAATATGGCACTGTAAATCGTATTGATTTTAATCATCAAAGGTCTCCATGCCTCTTCTTACGCAAATTCAAAAGGTAATAATGGATGATTAGCTGGAAAGTGGTTAAAGTAATTGCCATGACAAGTGAGAATTTACAAGTGATGAGACTTTGGATAATTCTGTTGATATGTATTGGAAAAAGGCGACCGTTCGGTGGGCTTGCGACGTCGGTAATGTCGAAGTGGAGAAATATGATAAAAACAAAAAAAAAAATCATTCCAATTGTTCCAGCAAGTACACTCTGATTAGATTTTGCAATTGTTCACAGAGTATATAAGAGAATATTGTTCATAGAGAATAAAGGTTTTCTACAATTAAGTATTTTATTGTAGACAAGTTATAATAAATGAGTTTGTGACCATATGTTGCTTATTACCGATAAGTAGCTCTATATGCTGCTCTCTTAGCAAAAGCCGAATTTCGCCGTAACTATCCGAGAAGAATCCTGGAACATGCAGTCGACGTTCTTGGAGGTTACGTGCGTCAGTTCCACAAAGTGCACATCTGAGCTTATTTGGATCCGCGATTGAGTAAAGGAATTCTGTCGAAGAAGTATGACATTTCTTGCATCTCCCCCACACCGATGGTTCATCCCAGCGTGTTAGAAGAGCTGCTCAGAAGATTCACATATCCCATTTGTGACCATTAACAGTATACGCAAGATGCTTACATGAAGCCAATGGCAGGTTGTCATCATAAAGCGTAAGAAATGGACTACTTAACAGAAAATTTGTTAATTATTTTCGAAGATTAATGAACACATTCTACTGTGTGATACTGTCAAATTACACAATACCAATGGTAATAAAGGGTCGTGAGATTTCAACGGTCGGTGGAGGTAAACCAGTTTTGTTGAGATACGCCAACACCTGCAGCGTGACCCATTGGGGCAATCCGGGAGGTTCGTATTGAGTAAGGCGGGTTGTTTCTCGGTTCAGCTTCATTGGTTGGAGACGCTGAAGTCGCGCCTAGTTTTGATAAAAATCACAAAATACAAAAAAAATAACCGGGAACTAGACCGCCTTGTGGTCTAAATTAAACGAGATACGTGAGGTTACCAAACCTTCCAATAGATAATTGTTATTTCATTTCTAAAATAATTACAATAAAAATTAGAGTTTTTGAAGCCAGTGGATCTTAACAGAGTAGTAACCGCCGATGTTAATTCAGTCAAGTTTTATACAATTCAAGTCAAGACCCATACGCTGTCTGCATTCAAATACAGATATTATCCTGCATCCATTAAGCCAGCATATATCATCATTTATATGGCTATCGTAGACAAAACTGATATAGAAACACTCGTACCTCGATTTGCACCAGATTTTTTATTTCATTGGCGTCTGCTCCAGTAACGTCAACTGTTATGAGTGTTCTTGGACTGGTTTGGATCTGATTACCAAATCGAGTTGAAACGGTAAGCCGGGCATCTTGGAGAAGCACGACCGTGTCCCTGGGTGCAGGCAGCACGAGCCACACGTAAGTTATCAGAAATAAACTATAACTACGTACGTAATAATTGAGAATTTCTATTTCGATGTTATAGGTGAAATGGGATGCTTGTAACAAACTGAATTATCTTAGGGGAAAAAGTACGCCTGATCTTCAAGCCAAGGATTGAAATATTTCGATAGACTTTGAATAAGTTTGCTATTTGCAGTAAAGTCATAATTGGAACAGTGAATATATTTTGCAAGAATAAAAACACAGAAAACAACATAAATTGGCTAGAGTGAAAAATATTTTCTAGCTCCACTTTCCTATTACCAATGATAAATCGTATTGTTACTCTATATGTTCGTGCATCTTGAGATATTATAGATATTTTATGGCAGTCCGTCTATATGTGTAGACTCACCAAGGCAAGCACTGATCTTTCAAATATTGTGCCATATCACCCCAAACCGTCATCAGTATTGTCTGAGAGCTCTGGTCGGCCAGCTCTAGCATCAAACGCTTTTCTACACCATTCCGTGTGTTGACTTCTTCAGGTAGGCCTATGTAGAAGGCAAAGAAAATATCATCATCGAAACAAATATCTACATACGCTTAGAGTGATTTATTTACGGTGATTATCGTCAAATGCACATACCGGTACTAAACCTGAACCGGTAAGGCCTGCAAATCGAATTCTGAGTAAAATCTGTTAACTAGTATTTTCAAACAAAAACAAGAATGTACTTTACCCAATAAATGATGATGCGCGTTCGTATTACGTCTACGTTTAATTATCAGAATTAAATGACGCTTACCAATATCAACGACAACCGCCATAATTGTCACATTGCATTCGAGCTGTTCTGCGAGAAGCTCTTTAATTGACTTCGAATCGGCACGCATGACTGGAGGAACATGCAATGCCTGTGTAAGTCTGTGTATATTTCGAGGATGGGCAACCTTCACTGCTTGACATTGACTCTCAGGATGTTGTAACTAGAACAAAAAACAGGACGTCTCGAACCTTACGTGATTTAGCTGAGCATTGTTTCAGGCGAATAGCGCCCTCTAGTACGAAACGAAACGCATCTATATCCCGGTTCAAACTACCATGCGTTCCTAAGGGCTGCTGCAACTAGTATCATAGAAGCAGGCGTTTCTTTGTGGAAATTCGATTTTGTCCAAGACATCTGATCGATGTTCAAAAATACGACACGGTGCAGAACCTCCTAAGAAATTTTTGTAGTTTCGTCTTGTTATAGATAGACAAAATATAAATAATTACCTAATGAGTGTACTAATTCTATCCTAGTATGTAGAGTGCGAAACAGCCCGCCTCCATTGCGCGCTATTTCCATGGCTTACCTCGAGGACCATTTGGCAGGTGCAACAGGGCGTGAATTGGTAACTTCCCTTACGGGGGCCTGTCACCTTCAGAAACGGAAGTCGTACCGCTGCGCCTATAAAGATTGAATATCGTACCACTAGCAAGTTGGTTAAAATGGTTGATTCCAATTATAATAACTTTTAGGATCATGAATTCTCTGCTGATATGACGATTATATTATATGGCACCGACGTTGGCAAAACAATAATCAACCAAAAGGATATTAATGTCGACGCATTTAACAACGACTGACGGTGTATTTAAGTGGGGATACGTTCAAGTACATGTCTAACGTACAATATTTTTAATTACGGATATTGGCTAAAGTCATGAGAACTGGTTTTGCTTCACTCGAAAGAGACTCTGCATGCTGTTTAGCTTCCCCTTTAAACGTTTCCAATCTTTTGTGAAAAATAATTAATGTATTATTCAAATATTATAACCGCAATAGAGTCTGAACGATACGCTTGTCGAGCAAACTATGCTAGCTGATTATACTGTTCAATACAATAAAATATAAACATTTTTAGTTGAACCCCAAAACATAAATCGAATCTTTTTAAATACAATCGTTTACAAAAAGTGGGCCGTCCCAAAGAAAACAAACTGCTAATTGAATTTTTTTAACCGTAGGTATATCTTCAATACATATTTTTAATCATTTAAGAATACACGCATTCATGTATACCTTGTAGTGATAAAGAAAAAGCGAGTTTTTCATGTGTAAACCAAATGTAACCAAACCAAATGTAAACGTTTTCGTTCGAGGCGCTAAATTCAAAATAGAAGTAGTTATCACTGAAAAGAGCTTACACATACTGCCGCTGCAGTCTATTTATATATGGTCTGTCATATAATCCAGTGGAAGGTTCGTAGCGGTTTAAAAAGTATTGTATATGCGACTGCTGGCTGCTTTCGGCGATTATGAACGACATCATGTTCACGACTTATAGGCACGCATATGTTTGCAAATAAATACATTAATGTTAAAACTGACTTAATTAAGCAACGTATCTTCGATAATTGGTGTTTAACGAAATATACAGGCTGACGTAGAAGTCTCTTGACAGATCAGTTTGACAGTTGATTATATTATTCATTATATACTTGTTAGCGTAGCAAGAGATATGGATGTTATTGCAATAAAGGTCACATTTGTAAGCGAGTTTATTCGCTGAGAACTCTCCTACCATCAAGTGACATACTCTCTCACTCTCTCTCTCTCTCTCTCTCTTTATATATATATGTATATACATACATACATACACAAATATATATAAATTTTTCGTTTACCAATAGGCAGAAGCGAAGATATTCGGTGAGCGTTGTCCGGAGTACCCCAGTAGACGACATTCGCGGTGTCGCCCATGATATCTTTAACGACAAAGTTTAATACAGCTCTTCGGCCTTCGCCGAAGCGTGACGCCGTACGACTACCAATTTCCCTTACAGGTTGCCGCTGGAGAACGCAGACCTCCACGGTTACAATACTCAGAGGAGGTTTAATATCCGACAGAAGGTGGACGTTCTCCACTAATGTAAATTAGATTGAAATAACGTAAATGAAGTAGCGGGTGGTTACCAACTGTCAGCTTTAGGGCCGCTGTAGATTATCAAAGATGGGAAGTTCTTCTTCGGGGGTAAGTAGATTAATTATGTTAATTAGTGCCATTACATTCAATAGGGTTTTTCGAAATTAACATGCAATGGCTTAATTAGTTGTAGCTATTTTCGGAATATTACTGTCAGTCCTTTTTCGAAATATACACAGTTCTGTGTCAATAGTTCTAGATAAATTGACTGTGTCTCTAGCCAAAGGTCTCCTGCTGTAAGATCACTATTTTGTGCTATTAGACGCTGTGCCATATTTCGTTCATAAAACAACATGAATAGCAACATGAGTATTTAATGGAATTACTTCGGTATGGCGATTGTCTTAACCACTGTATATTGACCAAGCATTAGCAAGAATATATCGAAAGCCTTATAAAAGAGGACTTGAAACCTAAGCTGAAGCGTTGTTTGAATTCTACTTACTTTTGAGATATATTCTCTCCGTGTCTTCGACTATCGTGAGCACCACCACGTGTATCTTTCACACTCTGACTAGTTCTGGTCTATCTAAAGCGGCAGATTACCATTTCCAGTGTTGTGATCGTCGATTCGAAGTTTCATTCGTAGACGTACAACTATTCATTTACATGTTGTATGTCATGCAGACTTAGCCCACTATGGCGAAATCGATATTTTAACACAAGACCGAATGCAAGTATCGGTTCACCATGTTGTAGTTGTACATACAATATTTACGGGCTCAATTCGAGTACATGTTATTCGATACACGAACCCTTACAGCTCCTCATACGAGCTCAAGTCACGCGTCGTCACCGTCCTACACATCATCATAACTCTATCATAGCAATTGTTCTTACTTACAAGTAATATGTTGAGTGTGTTTTTCAAAAAGAAAAAGAAGAAGAAGATGAAGAAGCTATCCAGCTTTATTGTTGAGGACCGTTGCGCGATAATGAATGCAGTTAGGCACAGACTTGACATTTAGCAGCAGTCCGACATTTCGTAATATTTTGTTATAATAATAGTCTCGAACCTCTGATGGGCCATTCTGTGGTCCTTTTGCTCACTCTCAAATGCAAGTCGTTTATGTTTTAATAGCTTTAGCAACCTTCTGCAGATTCTTGCCGAAAACGGTCCACGCTTTACGCGACAATTTTAGGTTCTTTGCTCGCGTAAGTGGACAATTTGCCAAGAGTTATATGAGAGTACGCCAATCGGATAACATTTAGCAGACGTCTTCCCATAAAGTTATACTGATGACTGTGAGAAACTACTAAATAGTTTTATCTATTATCGAATTTCAGAAATCTTTATTCTCATATATTAATCTTCAGAGAACAAATCATCGTAAGTCTAGGACTTAAGCCTTTTTGTGTGATACGTATCTCAGCCAGCAAAAATTTTTGCAGAATGATTTACCTACATTGTGTAGTTGTGAGGTCCAAGACTTCGCACATGAATCATTGCTCAGCATAGCGCAGCTCATCCCGTTCGGACAGTTTCTTATATATATATATATATATATATATATTACCCATTGTAAGACATATAAATAGAATTGATGCTGCATGACATGAGATACAATGAATAGTCAATTAGTTAGAGTTTATGGGCTAACACGGAACTGGCGTTTGCTTTTTGTGGCGCCAGAAAGAAGTTTAGCCGCTAGACCCTCCCTGCATGCACTGTGTATACTGGGTCCAATACGGAGTATCCAAAACCCACGGGGCACTGCAACCACCCCTGCCAGCCTTGTGCATTCGAGCGTAGTCATCACAAGTGACCTGGGCATCGCCATCGCAGTCCGTACCGAACTTGTTCATGTAAGAGATGATTGTGTCTTCGGCACAACTCCGATTAATGGCGCACTGAGCATAGCCTGAAATTTAATGACGATTTTCATGACATTCGTATTTAATGAAAATTATTATGACTAGATCGCGTCGGCCTAAATATGCTAGCCTTTTTAAAAACAAAGAAATAAAGTGTCCCGTCTTTTAAGGTGGAAACTGCCATAGACAGTTCATATATATATGGATACAAAAAAAGCGTTGAATCAACATAGAGCATTCAGTCTCGTGAGAGCCGAAATAATATTCCCTGATTTACCCCTTACCTGGAGTTCCGCCTGGCCTGCCAGCGTCGATCCAGTAAGCTTCAGAAATCTGAAATGGGCCGCAGTATCCATCACACGGAGCATTTGCGATGCACTTTGTACTTGCCTGGGATTACATAGACCAAAGCAATCGTTTTTATTCTGCCGCTTTTTCCGAAATTCACTCTTGCTGTACATTCTATAAAATTACTTCAGAACCAACAGAAAAGCATAAGTAATTTCCATGTTTGTATCTCAATCGATACTGTAAGTATCATCCACGTTTGCGTAGCCCGACAAGCTTGTGAAGGAACGCGTGACGGTAATAGAAAAACCGGAACCGCTGTATTTTGCCTAATCCGACGACAAAAGAAGTATAGGCCGTTGTCAAATCTTAATAGTTTTCATACCTTCGGATTTATTTTAGTAACTATAATAAGCTCATGGACTGTTTGTCTATAATCAAAGTTATTAAATTCTGCGATTCAAGAAAGAAGTCCCAATATTATTTAATGAGAAGTCATTTGTTACAATAACTAATGGTAATAATAATAATAATAAGCAATTTATTTTTAGTCGAATTATGTCGGTTAATGAGCATATGACTGCGATGACTAATGGTCAAACGGTACATTTTGCTTCGATATGTTTCGATTGTGATCGCTGAATTAGTCTTTTTCCCCGCTTATTAATGTTGAAGAAATAGTAACGCTTCAGAGCAATTTAGTATCGGTGCATAACTCACTGCAGGAAAACAAGGCGCAATACAGAGAATAGACCTATACAAGCCACGCCTCGATTCTGACAACAATCCGACAGTGGCTCTCAAATTCTCTGTTCCGTTTTGCCGTAGCAATTGCTATTGTAAAATGAGTGCTAATAGTATGGCGAGTGCAACAGCGTAAGTAACGGCTCTGAGCTTGGCGAGTTCAGACTAGCGACACCTTTACGATACGGCTATACTGAAATATGCTAGCGACTAACAATATCAATCCGTATCAATAACACTTACATAACAAATACAGTCCAGGCACTTCTTCGTAGCGTCGTCCTGAGCTGCAGACAATCCCGTCAAGACATATACCATCACAAAGCAGGCTGTGGTCCACGAACTTCGAGTAACTGCTAACTTCAATGGGGTCGATATCTTCATTGTTTCTCGAGTTCAGTATCACCGGTTGTATGCAGTCTGTTTATTTGAACGAATGCGCACTTCTTGCGATGCGAATGCAACTTGTTTAAGCAATGCCCTAAAGGATGTCAATATCAAACAATTGTCGTACAGCTGTGCCCAAGCCAGCATGCATACATCAACCTAAACAACAAGTGCTTAACTGGCAAACAAGGCGGATATGACACTCGACTTCAGTTACCTTTAGATATCGTGAAGTGCAATATAGGCAGCTTTCAATTTTGCGCTGTCGTGTTGACTCGTATGCGAAATAACACGCAAATGTGTTCGATCGCTCACGAAGGATATGATAAGGTCTCTGATCAACCGATCTGGGGAGGTAGAAACTTCCTGCGAGCTGCGACGATTCGTTTATTTTGCTATATTCAACAACCCTCTGTAATCACCGAAGGTCAGAGGGGGGTCACTGCTGGAAATCGACGCATGGAAAGGGACTTGTAACCGCTTCACTTTTAATGACGTCTCGCCCTCACGATGACTGGCTAGTGGACTCAGCCGTGAAATAGTGCTATGCAAGAGTACATACCATAATATATAGTAACATGGAAGAAAAATCCATAAAATGATTCGATGCGGCGACATCCCCATCGACTCCTTCGTTGAGCATTGTGAGAAAATCGTATTTTAAAATTTCGACAAATTATATCAGAATTATGTTCAATATCTCATACCTATTGAGCAGAATTCAATACTCATTTAGTTCACCTAAGTGGATCATTGAGTTAAAGAGCATTTTCTATTCTGCCGCACACGATGAATGGAAATCTTAACCAATTAATATGAATTAATTAGATAACAGGCCAAGATTGTGTACTATTTATTTCATTTTTATTCTTCTTAGTAAGATCATTCGAGGGCTACAGACAACCCGATTAGGGCATTCCTGATGATCCGCTCGTATCCGACTTAATCTTAGTAGTTAGTGTCCGATAAATCAAAAAAGACTCCACAAAGCTGCGTTCGCTCACTCTACTGTCACTTTTTTTTTCACATTTACGACTTGGCGTGGTCAATCAGAATTCAATGTTCAATATCATACTTAATTTCATGTAGCAGTGTTTTCTCCTATTGAATTTATGCTAATGAAGGAGAAAACTAACATGGCTAGCATCTCCAAAGGCGAATATAGAATTGACCATTAGATTTTGCTATGGGGGTGTGTTACGACAGCTCAAAATGGAATCCTCTTACCTTCTAAAAGTAACATTTCCACGCATGTTCACCATCATTCATAATTGGCTTTTGTCTCTGCTTAATAATAATTGTCTGAGAAAGAAGAATTCGTCTGCGTCCGGCTAAAGCTGGCCTACCGACGTTTATTCGGCTGTCTATTCATATAACAGCGGTCGCCAGTTGGACCGGTTGGCATAAATATCCTTTCAACCTTATTTTTGAACTTCTGGACGGTCCAAGAAGTTAACTGCAAATATCTTCTTAAATAAGAATTCATTAGCGTATGTAGATACTGCTTGTGGAATCTATTTCTGGTTTTTCCGGTCGAAAAGCGCAAATTGTTCAGGTTGACTAAATCCCAATGAGCCACGAGCCGTAATTTCGTAAAGATTTAATGCTAGGTATTGCAATCTGTTTGCTACTTCTCTAATAAAATTGAAAAATTTTATATATCTATTGTAAGTGTCTTTTTTTAATAACATTTTGCGGAGATGGTACTACTATGGTAAACCAAAATCGGCTACTTACAGCATGGTAGGTTATTATTTTGAAATGGGTTTTGCGAATGGCGGGTGACTCATCTCTTAAATAGCCTTCATTAGATAAGTTCAAAATGGATCCAAACGGGCGTTTTCCTTTAACCTACATATTTCATAATAGATGTCTGAGATTTGCAAAATTATGACATCCTGTAATATTTGTTTTAGGCGTTCGATGCCATCTACGTTCGTAAACTCCCACTGTTTTTAAACGGTCTTTCAACTCTTTATCACATCAAAAGCAGAATATTTATGATTATTGATAATTTTAGTATAACAGCTATTATTATTCACGCAGTAAGCGTATGTACAATATGGAATGTATTATTTGTGAAATATATATCGAACTAGCTTGACTTTTTTTTTTTGTTTATTTCCGACCTTAGCAATCGTATAGCATACTTTGAAACTCTTCATGTGTCTATTTTTTCCTGATTTTTGCAGAGCTGATCTTTCGTATAAATTATAAACCCCTGAGCAGCATCCCTGGAAACCGACCGGTTCTCTGCGAACTCCGCTAGTGCCTTGTCAGTTCATCCCTGTATTATTTCTATAGCTTTCGTCTCAATGGCGACCTTTTTCATTGTTTTTTTCATTTGTATCGTCTGTAGTCAGGTTATTTGCGTCCAAATGAAGAGTCCTCACGACCCATTCTGCTCCGGATCTATTCATAAAATAGTGCCTTATGAATCGTCGACTAACATCAAGCCATTATCAAATTCGCCATATTTTATAAGTAGTCCCTCTTTAGTGAGCGTATGGTATTGAGAAGAACGGATACGTTTCTGTTTGCAGGTGTTATGTCACAGTCGTAGAGATTGCCACATTGCTAAACAATTTGTTTTGCTTTGTAACAGTGCACCACCACTGTCGCTAACGAGCCAGAACTGGGAAAGGCCATTCGATCTCTTTGGTCACGATAGCAGGGATGGATTCTCTATCTACCAGAAATTTATCTGGGCAAACTTGGCCACATCACACCATTACGTTGTCGTCACATGGAGGCACAGTTCATATGGGAACGGCGAGAGACGAAGCACCATCTCGCCGTGCAGGTAAACATCAATAGGAACAACAAGCCGACGGCAGAATTGTATTACAGCTTGTGGTGGACAGCCGATATTACGGAAACGGTTGCGCTGGCATGGGGAACGCTTCTGCCTGTATCACTATATGGCCATTTGTTTAACTGGCCTATGAATACCGATTCTACTGCTATCGAGATGAAATAGGAGTTTCGTGGGGGGGACTTTGATATATCGCTGTCTATGTGCTGTTCGTAAATTTCTGTGCGATTTCCTACCAATCTAAATACCTATTTGTAATACGTAATCTGCCTCTGTGCTAGCTAATTTCCAACAAAGAGCTAGATGAACACTACTGCTAGCTGGACCCACATTTTATAATCAATGCGTATCTCTTCTTGTCAGTTACTGCTGTCTTTCTTGAACGACCCGGGAATCTTTATACAGTGATGCCGTGGCACCATTCTGCGTATTGCATCTGACGCTTGATACGCGCTGTCATCCAATAACAAGCGAAGCCCATCAGCGAACAGTCACAGAAATGTACAAATGCATCGGGGAGCGGGTAAAACTACAGTAAAACTCTATCTTCGATCAGAGCTGTCTGTCGATTGGATATATATAGTTTTTGGGATTTTTTAGAAACTCAGAAACTTTACACGGATGATTGGCACCTGACGAGTCGCACCTGCGGATGAGGTGAATTAAAGTTCTCTTGAAAATTGAATAAAGCTCGACAGAATCTACAGCGAACTAAGATATGTTAGAAGTAACGTTTAATTCGCATTTAAGTGAGACCTGTTGAAGATTTATCTAACAGAATGGTACCGCGTCGTGCCATCACTCAAAAATGCATTTGCTCAAGACGATCCTAATCATATAATTATAAGGTTAGAACAAATAATAAGAATATTTATAGATATGACAAAACTATTATTATTACTGAATTATTTTACTATTTTCTATTATATAATTTTTAGAATAAAAATAACTATTTTAGAAGTAAAATAAATATAAATAAAGTACTTACTCAATCAGCAAGTAAGGAATAACCTCTTATTTAAAAAAGGTTTTGTGCCCATTTTATGGCAGAAAATGCAGATGTGACGAACTAGCAAAGACGTTCGACTCGGCTGCTGCTTCGTAGGCGCTTTAATGTCTACTCGATTTTTTGTCATTGTTTTCAAAGCATAGATTTTGTAATTTCTGTTTTTTCATTATCGTTCTTAACGAATCTATTTTTTTCTAAACTTCCCTGTATTACATATATGTTCCTGTTTTTTCTTGACTGTATTATTCCCAACGCATCTACGTGTACCGCAATTAGGCAGATCATGAAAATAACATCAATGTGCCGGGTCCGTTAGGAGGAATGAAAAAAATTCGGGCTAATTTTCTGTTAATCGAAAATGACCCTGATCTGTCTAGCGTACTCATCGCTAGTAAGAGGTTTTTCGTATCAAATAAATTTCTAAATATATTGGCATCCTTATAATTGCGTAAGCCTAACCATTAATCCACATGGATTTCGACATGTCGCTTTCTCCCGTTATGGACTATGTTAATTTCAAATTCTAATAACAGTTTCTGTTGTTGCTTACTAAGTTTTCTGTAAGGGAACAACGGAACCTAAACAGATTTTAGACATGGTATCGACTATCCGTTTTCGATGCCGGAACTGAAACACTCGTAACTAGCTGGCCAAAAGAAGCTACCAAGAGTAGTAGTATCTTAGAACTCTGTGTTGTAGGTGAAGTAGGACAAAAGTGTCACAGTTAAGCAGCTCGAACCAAAAAGCAGTACACATTACAGAAATCAGCAGCATAAACGAATGATTTATGACTGAATATCTACGAAGATCGTAACGAACCGGTTCATAAAAGCGCACTTTTAAATAGGTAATCTACTAAGTTAACCATTAACATTAAGTTACGGTCGAATACGTTTCGGCGCATATCCCTTGTGAATTCAGGAACTTCTTGTGTTTGCATCTGAGCCACGCTAAAACACGGCCGATATTTGGAAACAGCACGGAGCATCTTGATATTATAAAGGAGAAAACCGAATACCTAGTCAGACTTTGGTTCTTCACCTGTTAAGTGCTTGTACTATCGATGTCTTCACACGCGAAGACAAGTTTCTATGTGCTTGGCAAAACAACATATGCGCCATATAACTTTCCTCACCTTCATTCAGTACGTTGCACGAAAAACTAAATGATTCATACGCAAAAAATTTATATGGTGATACAACATATGAAATGCAGAAGACTAGTTTTTTTCAGCGAGGCAGCTTTGTACGTTTTTTTCATACAAGTTGAAGGATCGACATTGTCTACAGATTTGGAAATGTCAAACCTAGCAAAAATGTGGCACATACAACGCTGGTCATTGTTTCCGTAATGCATTTTGGTGATTTCAGTCAGATCAACTTCAGTAGAGGATTTGTGTCAAACCCTTGTAGGGTTTTCATCGGCTACCTGGCCAAGGTGCAGCTTCATACCGTTCACAGTTTTCCATAAACCTGCCGATTAACACTTTTTATCGTACACGATAACTTATATTCACAACAGACGGTTCTATTGGACTTTTTGCAATGGGAA